AACGCGCCCCGCGTCCCGCAGGTGTCCGCGCGTCCTGACGCCTCCTCCCCGCGCCGCGCGGACACTGGGCGGGGCGGGAGGAGGGGCGGGGCGGGGCGGGGCCGGGCGGGCTGGAGGGGGAGGGGCGGAGAGGGGCCCGGAGGCGGGGGCGGGGCGGGGCGGGGCGGGGCGGGGGCCGGAGCCGAGAGCGGCGGGGGAAGGGAGGCGAGGCGGGGCCGTGGGAAGAGCCTCCCCCCTCCCCCTCCCCGCACCCCTCTCCTCTCCCCACCCTTTGCTCTCTTCACCTTTCCCCCCTTCCTGCCCCTCCCCCTTGTGCCCTAGACATGGGGGGTTCGCCGGAGGTGGCGGGGCGCGACGGGTAGCGGGGGCGCAGCGGGGCGGGGTCGTGACTATTCCTGCCACCTGGGGTCACCCTCGCTCCGCCCAGAGGGGAGAGAGCTGGACCAGGGAACTGGTTGGAGGTCTTATGGGACCCAGGCCCCAATTCCTTGGGCTCACCTGTAAATTGGGGTCCCACCTGCCCCCTGGATCTGAGCCGGCTGGCAGGGAAGTTGTGTCCACTCTGGAGCCCCGGAGGGACCCAGCTGGGATCGCCCTAGCTGGACTCTTCCCTGCAGCTTCCCAGGAGAAAGCTGGGGCCAGTGGGGTGCGGCCCAGCTGAGTTGACCAGCCTGTGACATCAGATAAGTCACTAATAAACCCTCTGGCCTGTGTGCTCATCTGTGCAGCCGAACCAGAAAGTACTTAGCTCCTGGGCACCCTCGGGTCCACGGGTTAGTGCCCACAGCTCCCAGCAGTGCTGCGGAGCAGATGACCAGGTAACTAGGTTAACAGCGGAAATCAGAGCTGCCCCGAAATAGATCAGAAAGGCTAGGGCTCCCCATGTCTCTTTCAGGGTAAAAAGGGACAAGAACCCACCTCCCTCCCCAGTACTGGAGTGGGTAAGGAGCCCGTGGGTCACAGCACAGGACGCTGTGCCTCTGCCAGGGAGGCCTCACTTTGGTACCTGAAGGTGCAGCAGAAGTTGTTTGCAAAAAAACTATTAAAACCCCACCATTTAATTATTGTGTCTTCTGAGGTTCAGTGGAAACAGTTTATGGAGAACAAAAAACAAATAAACATGAAGGCATGAAAAATGTGGACCCAGATGTAGACTTTCGCACTTTCAGTGGGGGGTTTAAAATGGCTCCATTTAGTGGGTAAAAGAGGAAGCCTGTGTGAAAGAAATGAAAGCGAAGCTCTGGCAGGAGGAAGATAACCGTGAACAAGGCAGGCAGCGGAAAGCGTGGCCACCCCTCTGTGCCCACTGAGGTGAGAATGCTGACAGGTGACAGGTGTGTGCTGCAGACAGGCGGGGTCCGGGGGAGGGTTCGTGGACCATGCCTGGCTGCAGAATTTCTCCCAAGGGGAGCCCACGTGTTCAGGGACTGGACCCCTGCTCCCTGGAGCAGCAGCAGCAGGGACTGTGCTGGGACCTTGATCCCCACTTGACCTGCAGGGAGTGGCTCCACTGGGGAATCTGCCCTCCCAGCATGGAGAAGCCCCGCAGAGACCTGTGCAGGGGCAGGACAGGGGTCCAGGAAAGGCAGAACCTGCCAGCAGGGGCGGGAAAGGGGAGGCCAGGCTCCGGGAAGGAGGAGGGTTGATTTGAGAAGGACAGGAAATTAAACCCAAGGGAACTCCCTCACTCCAGTAACTTTTCTTCTCATAATTAGCCACAGGGACAGGAAGGGCTTGTCACTAGCAGTGCATTCGGGAGCGCTGAGTCGGGCTGCAGCAGGCTTTCCTTCTCAAAGGTGCCACAGTTAAAAAGGCCACAGAGGGCCCACAGGACGTCTCTTACATGGTTTGTTTGGTTGCTTGGTTGGTTTTTTTGGAGACCATGCCCCATTTCTCATGCTGGCATCAAAACCCTCTGATAACATCACACATTCTGTCAGACTGCCAGGGAGGCTGAGTTAAATATCATTTAATTGAGCGGTAAAAGTCCAAAAGGAGCCTGCTCATGGGACCCCACCCTGAGGATCTCCTGCAGGAGGTGCACGCTGACGGCACTGCAGGTGCAGAAAAGGAGGGCACAGGCAGTGACCGCAGCCAGCCACAACCCGGCTTCACACATTCGTGCAGGGTGCAGGCTCAAACCCACAGGCCCACGGGCAGCGGGCACCACACGGGAACGTACTTTGCCAGGAAGCAAGGATTTCCACCTGATATCCTGAAAGGTGCCTCTGCCTGCACACCACAGATGGGCATGGGGCTGGCCCACAGGCCTCGGGACAGACAGACAAGAAGCCAGAACGTCTTCTCCCCATGAAAGCTTTCCACCTTGGCACACGGTAAACCAGTGCAGCAAAAATACAGAGGACAAAACCCCAAGATCTGTGTGCCTTCAGAAAAGGCGAGGGCGAATTCTCAAGTGGAGGCGATTCAAGAGGAAATTAATTCAGCCGAGACAAAGGCCCAGAGCAGCGCATCACAGGCTGCCGTTGGCGCCCGGCGTGTTAGGGCTGGGCAAGCCCTTTGTGCTGCACCAGCTTTCACAGCCACAGAAGCCCAGTGGGGCACCGCGAGATCACCGACACAAATGGGTTTCCCCACCAGGGCAGCAGGAGCAGAGACCTCAGGGACAACTCCTGCCGGGGTGTCACTACCTGCCAACGAGGGGATCCCACAGGAGGTGAGGCTGTGGGGATGGCCGGATGGACGCTGTGTATAGCACACCTGCGGACTCTGCACACGTGTCTGGGCTCCGCACACGGAGCGGGCGTATGGCCGCCCTGTGGATTCCATGAGCTGTGTGGCACTTACAGCGAGCTCGGTAGCAGGAACCCGGGAAGCGGTGGCACCCGTGCCCGTGACCCCAAAGGCTGGAATCCTTCCAGGGCATCTCCTTGTGGTCACTGTGTCCCATAAGCAGTTTAGGAAGGTTCATCTGCTTCCAAATTGTTCCAGTTTTTCAACTTAGTGTTTGAAACTTTACCGCTGGAGATGTTTGTGTGAAAGCGTCACTCTCACGAAAATGTCTGCATGGGAAAGAAAGGGGGTGACTGTATCTTAGGTGGGAAACACCTTTGTGCTTACCTTACGCAGCCAAGGAAGGGGTGACCGTGTCCTCCCACTTACAGAGAAAAGACCGCAAGGCCCCCTTGTAAACCTGCGGCCGCCCTGGTTTGTCTCAGAATCTGCCTTTCTGTGTTGGACACTCCGCAGGCAGACTCAGGCCTGGCCCCTCTGGGGTTCTGGGCGGCTGGAGGGAGCAGGACAGGGCTGCCCTGGCCTCCTCTAGCCCCCAAATCTGCACAGACCCTGCCTAGACAAGACAGCGGTCCTGCCCCTCCCTCACGCCCGCCCCAGAACGAAGGCACGGAGGTCTTGGCTCCACACTGTGCGGGCACCATCTGGTGTGCCTCGGGGTCCAGCAGCCTTGGGAGGAGCCCACCTGGACACACCCAAGCTCAGATCCCGCACCGGCCCACGCCTCCCCCATTCTCACTGCTCCAGGCGCACAGACGCTCCCATTCAGGTCCGCATGCAGCACCAGTGCTGCGGGGTCTCAGGCGGCCTGTGTGGTTGACGTTTGCTAAACACCCACAGAGCATCTGCACTTAATAAGATCTTTGGCACACGACAGCTGGGCCAGCGAGGAGGGCAAGCTTGAATCCCCTCGGGCTTCCCCCGGAGGCTCTGGCGGGCGGGGAGGCCCAGGCAGTGGGCAGGGTCACTGGGCACCTCGCTTTCTGGATGGTGCCTTCTGTCCTGAGAGCAAGGGGAGGTGGAGCGAGTGTGAGGGCTAGGCCTTCCGGCCCCAGTGCCACCCCGGGACCCGCCTGCTCTGCCCTTCCCTCTGGTCCCCACACCCTGCAAACTCACAGCAGTATCTGTTTTCCTGCTACAAGAGAAGAGACGGTGGTGGGGAAGATGGCTTCAGGGTGAGGAGCTGGAGAGGTGAAGGTAAGCCCACAGTAAGATGCTGAGAATCCAAGAGCGACAGGAAAGCATTTCGGCGGACATCCAGGGAGGCTGCAGGCCATTCACCGAGGGCGCTTCCCCAGCCCTGCCTGTGTGCTGCGCGCAAAAGGCGGCCCCTGACTTTGCGGTGTTCAGGAGCCAGGAAAACCCCCGTGGTTAGAATTCCAGCCTTGGAGGCAGGGCCTGCTCACCCCTCCCAGAGGGGTTTCCCAGGTGGCCCTGAGCCGAGACTCCGTGGGAAGCGTGGGAAGCGGGTGACTGGGCACAGAGAGGAGGTGTGGCCAGGCGGGACTTGGGCAGGCACCGGCCAGCAGGGACAGTCCAGGATTCACACAAAGGCCCCTCTCCGGGAGCCCCAGTGGAGCCGGGATCTCAGAAGCTGGAAGCTGGTGGCGTTGTGAAGCTGGTGTTTCCAGACAAGGCACAAGACTGCAGAGTATGACCCAGGCAGGGCCGGGGGCAGGGCCAGGGACTGAGAGGGCGAGGCCAGGGTCGGGACAAGGCCATGGCCTCAGAGGCCAAGGGGCATTATGGGGGCTCCGTGGCAGCACGCAAAATTCTGCCAGTGTTGGGAGGGGCAGGAGACAGGGAATTGCCCTCCACCTCAGACTGGGCAAAGCTGGGTCCGGCTGACATAGCCCTGGAGGCTGAAGGGCTTGGAGGAGCCTGGGGTTTGGTCAAGAGGAAGGGAGAAGTGGGCTGGAAGGGGGCGCCTAGACCCCAGGAACGAGGTGGCAGGCAGGGGCTTGGCAGAGATCAGTCAGGAGGAGCTAAGAGCAGGGACGAACCAGAAGATTGGGAAGCCCAGTCCTGAGTTTCCCTTTCTGTGCAGGCCCTGGCATCCAGGGGGGTCAGCACCCAGCACACCTGGTGTCTCTGCGGGGGGTGGCGGCCGGGTGAACAGCCAGGGAGGGCCCACAGCACTCACACTGGGCTCTTCACCTCCGTCCCACACAGAAGCACGCTGAGAAAGTGTTCTTACTACACTGTTTCTATTGGCAGAAAACGTACAGGCCACTTGTGTGATTTCATTTATGAAGAAACTGAAGCAGATTTTTATTCTTTATTGCAAGCAGATTCAGGTCTCTTGCTTAGATAATCTAGAGAAAAGTCCAATTAATATTATCAGGTCAGTTTATCTACAGAAATAAAAGTTAAAAACAGGAGCATACAAAATAAACTTTACAGAAATGTTATATTTGGTTTAATTCACAATTTAATTTTTCAAAGCAGATTAATGAATTAACAGTTAAATGTTACTGTGTGGAGGCTGATTTATGTTAAATGCACCTACTATGTTCAATAATTTAAAAATAAACTCCAGTATTTATGATGATGACAGCTATGGATATCATTCGTGTTAAGTACATTTTTGAAGACCTTCTTTTATTACATTACATAATGGATAGACATTTTAAATGGTAATGCAGACATTATAATTTTAAGTCAGACAGAATATATGCATATTAAAATTCTGTATACTTTGATAAGGTAAAAAATAAAGCTATATAAATCGATCTTTAGATTTTTTTCTGCAAAAGTAGAATCATACTTTCACGACACTTCTAACACATCCCCATCAAAGCTGCCTATAGACACAACATGAGAACCATTTTTGTTCAAGTTCACCCACCTTTAGCTAAAAATAAAAAAAAAATCGCATTTGCCAACTGATATTTTTCCTGTTTTTAAAGTTACAAATGGGTAGCTTCCTAAAGAGATGTGGAATGCATGGACCTGCATATCAAGCTGTTGGACACTGAGTTGTCAAATAAATAACAGTAAGATTAAATAAAAGTGGTTGTATCATTCAACACGAGTCAGTGCAGAACACATGGACAGAGTGGTCTGAAGGAGGCTGGAGGTTTCCTGCTATGGCACTGGACCCCGGGCCGAGGCTCAATTCAGTGGAGTCCCAACGGCACATCTAAACAGGTGTTGAAACGCTCGGCAAGCTGAATGGTCACGTGCGGGAGAGGCTGGCCATGACTGGCCTGCTCCCTCAAGGCTGTGTGGCCTGCTCGTTCGCCGCGTCTGCTCAGACACAGGCTGGGCTGACTGGGGCTTGAAGAGGCTGTGGCCCTGCCCCGCTGGCTTGTGGTGGAAGGCTGGCCATGCTCCCTGACGTGCCGGGGATGAGGTGTGGCGTTGCTGCAGCCAGCCCTGCTGTGGCCGCCTGGTTTAGGGCTGAGCCGAGGGGACGTTTCATCTTGTGGGGCCGGACCTCCCTGGGGGAAAGGGCCTTGTCCAGGACGCCAAGCGTGACGCACAGAGCAGCTGTGTAAGTGAAGCTGCGGCTTCACCCCCAGGGCCTGCTCTGCAAAACCCAGACATTCTACCAGGAGGACTCTTCTTCGCACGGAGGCATGGGGCAGGGTCCAGGGAGCCCGATCTTCCCACGCCTGGCCAGAGGCCCCTCACAGGGCCCTCAGGAAGGAGGAAGAATGCGGTGTGGGACACCAGGCAGGGGTGCATGTGTGTGCATTCATGTGTGCACACGTGTTCATGTATGCAAACATGCGTGTGTATACATGCATTCATGAGTGCAGGAGCCTGCACGTCTGGGGGTGTGCACATGTGTAGGAGCTCACGTGTGCACACGTGGGAGCTTGCACGCGTTTGTAGTGAATGTACATGTGTGTATCCATGTGTACAGGTATAAAAGCTCATAGGTATTTCTGGTGTGCATAGGCATGTGAGACCAGCCCATAGGAGCTTGTCCATATGTGCTTAATATACATGCATGTATGTACTCACGCGTCCATGTACAGGAACTTAGCTTGTTTGTGGTGTGTGTGCATGCATGCATTCTGTGTGTAGGAGCTTTCATGTACCTGTGGTATGTGTACACCTATGCATGGATTGCCTATGTGTGTAGCTCACACATGCTTTTGTGGTGTCCGTACATGTGTGTGTATAAGTGTAGGAGCTCACACACACTGTGTACACATTTGTGTGCATGCATGCCTGTAGGAGCTTGCATACCTGTGTGTCCATGTGCATATGTATACATGTGTTCCTGTGTGCAAGCCTGCATGTGTGTACATGGCTGTGAGTGAAATGGAGCCAAAGCGAAGGGAACTCATGTGCAGCGGGCCTGCCTGTGCGTGTATGAGACAGACGATCTGTGGCAGGGACTGGGTGTGGAGCAGCAACCGTGTATCTGACCAACATGCCGAGTTACAAGTTGGTAATTCATTAACATGTGCAGCAGCGAATAAGATTTTTAAAACAAAGTGCTTAAAGTTGACATTACTTGCTTCAAAGTTAGTTTAAGGCAAGTAAATACTAACTAGTGTGAGGTGGAAACTGCCTGGAGTCACAGCTGCAACGTCAGTCACTGAGGGTCTTCCCATCCTTTCATTTCTCGTCTCATGCCGCTTGTCTAGTTCAAATTATCAGGCACATTCACTTAATAATTTCCCAAGCAATTTTAAAAAGATGTCTGGGAGTGTGTAAAAGTTTAGTGACTGTCACACTAAGACCTGTGGTCAGAGGTACGTGGTGACTATCTCGGCACAAGCAGAACTGGGCCCCAGCTTACTAACCCTTCATGTGAGAATCTTCTATTTTTAAGGCTGAAGGATGGAAATTAACAAAACATAGAAAGCAGATGAAACTGCAATGAATTGTAAAGAAAAAGCATAGCAAATTATCGTACCTTAAATATGCTGTTCAACTAATCACCGCCACCAGAAATACCAAGAAAGGGAAGAGGCATGTGTGGAGAATAAAATCAAACCTGGAAATTCACATTCATCAGAGACTGGAACATCTCCCCAGCATCTAAATGTAAAGTGGCCAAAATTTCATAAACTTAAAAAGGAAAGCTTTAAAAACATAGTTTTAAAATTAGACCATATGTTAAATAAATGAATAAAAGAGATATAAACAGCTATGAAAATACTTCAGTGCAAAGGCAATTTTAAGATTTCTAAAAAAATACATTACAAATAATTTGTTAACTGAACATACAGAGAACCTGTCTCCCTACAGGTATTACATTTATACCCATATTGGGTTCTTAAAAAGGGCTGTAAAAATGCACACACCATTGTCTGCGGGGTGGCGTGGGCAGGGCTGCCAAGCCAGGGCGGCCGCACACAGACCTCGGGGCGGGACGGCCCCTCGGGACAGGGCGCGTCCTCGGCGTTCTGTCGGCGGAAGCCAGCTGCTCACTACCCTAATCTTTGGTGTGGTGTCTGTGCCCTCAGTTCATCCCAGCCACCGTGTTCACTGTTCTTACCGTTGATTTATCCTCTAGTTCAAATAAATATTTTCTAGGTAAAAGATTATACAATCAAATGGTGAAATCTGAGCTTCCAAAAACGCCTACTGTGAAGCACCTCAGAACCGCCCTGGGCTTCCCCTGCCGCAGCCCCGTTTCCCCGCGCGGTGCGTGCGGGCGGGCGCGCGGGCGGCTCCTGTGTATCCCACGGTGCTTTCCCAAAAGGCAGCAGTTTCAGTGTCTGAAGTCTGAATTTCACACTGAAATGTCTTCTTTAAGGACCATTAAGGCTACGTAAAGGTTTCTAGAAATAGAAATGCCGGTACAGAGAGCAACAGGGACTTCCTATCACAGCAGCCGGGGGGTTGCTAACTCACTCAGAGCAGCGCTGAACAGAATCCTAAGAGGAAGGAGAGCCCTGCGTGGGGATGTGGGGACGCGGGAGGCAGAGCCCGGTGGGATTGACCCCCTTCCTGTGGGCTGCCCCCATCAGCCTGAGACAGGTTCTGGGGCATGAACACCACCTTGGTGGTCACCCCTCCATGGGGACAGAGGATATCTGCCCATCACAGCCAAGTATCTGTCCCCCTGTCCCTTGCAACCACGAAATCAACATTCTCCCATAAAAGTGGTGGGGGCAGGCTGACGGCTCCGTGCTCAGGCGCGTGGCCGACGGACATCCTGGCGCTTCTGCTGCAGGGCCGGGAGCTGCTGGCGTGGTCGTCCTCCCACGTGGCAGTTTTCTCCAGGAGGCTGCCAGTGATGGGAAGAGACCGCAGTTCAGTCAGCCTGACGCACAGGGCAGGCAGGCTAAGCCTTGCGTCGGTGGGGACGACAGTGTCTGAGTGACCTGGCCCTTCCCACAGCAAGAGGGTTGAGGGTTCTTGAGTAAAGGACGCGCTGACACAGCTTCACCTCGTCCTACGGAGGGCACTGGCGGCAGCCAGGCATGCAGGACACAACAGCGGGCAGCGTCCACACGTGGGCCACCACAGGTCCCTGGATGGCTCTTCTCTCCCAGTGACAGCAAAGGCTGATGACGGCAGGTGGGTGAAGACACAGGCCTCTTCCTGACAGTGCAGAGGGTGGGCTGGCAGAATGTCCCTTCTGAGTTGAGCTGAATGCCCAGAGGCCACCACTGTGGCTGAACCACCACAGCGCTAGTCCAGATGGCCAACAGCCACGCTTGAGGCAAGGCCTGTGGCCCCTCCTTGCCTGCTGGGGCCAGGAAGAGGCACAAGCACAGTCTCCACAGGCTTGGGGTCGCCCATCACACGAGCATTCCCACGAGGGACCCAGGGCGGCTGTGCCTCGGGCTGGAACTGCAGCAGTGATGGGAACAGCTGGGGGCGGGTGGGGGCTCCGCGGACACCTTCCCCTTCCAGACCGCGAGTGCCACCCGCTGAGGCCTGCAGCCGCTCCAGGCGGCCGAGGGACGGGTGCTCTGGTAGCCTGGGCTCTGCAGAGAGGCAAGAGGGGTGAATTCTGAGTCTCGGTCCCAAGGCTGTGCACACCCATTCTGCTGAGAGAATGAGAGACACACCGTCAGTCTCGGGGATCCCCATGGGGCTGAGTCACTCTGGGACGCACTCGCGACCGTCACCTCCTGCAGGAACTGCTAGACTCAACTCAGGACATGGCCTCATCCTGAGGGCATGTCAGGTGGGATCCACCCCTCCGCCCTACCACCCCCAGAGAAGCCACACAGAGGTAAGGGGTCTCTGTGTAGGAACGAGCACCTCTCCCTTTCGGTACTAACAGAGTACCGTCCTCCCGTCCCACCATCCCATGGAAGAACCCAGGGGCCCCAGGGATACGGGCCATGGACAGGAAGCCTACGGGCCTCCTCCCTGTAGCTGGCATCCTGGGCAGTGACAGCTCAAATGCCGTCCCATACCCAGAGACCCTCGGACATAACAGCTCACTCACTGCCCCAGAGAGGGGAGGCCCCACCCCACAGGCCCCGGGCTGGTGTCGTGCTGGATGTGTCTGGCTTGTGTCCCCTCAGCTTGCTGCCTTGGGTGTCACCACACGGATGGGGCCTGCATGGCTTCTCACTGACAGCCCATCGGGGCCTGGAAGTGCACAGATGTGGGGAGCAGCAGGCGGCCGGCAGCATGCACCATCTGTTGGGGGGCCGTCCCCAGGTGAGCCGACTTTCAGACCAGGGGGCAGCGGTGGAAATGCCGGCAGGGGCAGGTGTCCTCACGGCCTCCACGGCTGTCAGACAGGTGACAAGCTACGTGCTCTGGCAGGCCTGCCTGGGTGCAGGTTCCACATGAATCATGCAATATCCACATGTGATTTCAAAGCAGGCTCCTTCCTGTGAGGCCTTTTAAGTGAAGCTGTTTCTCCCGAAAGACCAGGACGGTATCTGATGTTGCTGGGCCTGCTCAGGCTGCGTGGTGTGCACCTGGGGTGCGTGTACACCTGGGGTGCAGGTGCACCTGTGTGCGCGTACACCTGGGGTGCGGGTGCACCTGTGTGCGTGTACACCTGGGGTGCGTGTACACCTGGGGTGTGTGTACACCTGTGTGTGTGTGTGTGTGTGTGCACAGCATGCTCCATGTGCAGTCAGCGTGCCCTCAGGCGTGCCACTTACCTGGGACAGCAAACGCATGTGTGTGTAAAGAGGGCTGCTCTTTTTCACTGTGAACCTTTGTTACCAAAGACAGCACAGCACAACACAGCAAAACTTTGGAGGAAAACAGATCTGAGTCACAACACACGGGCGGCACCGAGCGGCCGCACGTTACCTAGCGTGGAGCTAACTGCGCCGCGGCCGCCGCAGGAGATCCTTCAGGAGGGGCCCGTCGCTGCGCTGTGCGGCCTGGACCGGAGCCTTGTGCTTCGCGCCCCTCTGCAAGGCGAGGAAAGACACTGAGCGGTGCCACCCAACACGGGCCACGCGGGGCTACTGAGCTGCCACCCATGGGAACCAGGAGCACCCGGGCCTCTGCCTGCACCATCTGTGGGCCCCAGCAGGAAGAGGCTCTGAGCCCCTGTTAAAGTCTGCATGGGGCGTCATGGAGCTGCCAGGGCAAGGGCTCGGGGCCTCTCCGGGAAAACAGACGCTGTCCCAGCAGGGCCGCTCCCAGGGGGAGCCCAAGCCCAGAACGGAGGCAGCCTCCAGCTCAGGTACAGGTCACGGCACCTGTGGGAGGCAGAGGGTCTCAGTCCCTCAGCTGGAAGGTCCACGGGCACCTCTGGAATCCTGAAGCCACACATCTGGCCACATGCCCGTTTCCATGGCAGCCAGCCAGCCCCAGGAGCCGCTCTGCCAGGGCCCTGCGGCCGAGTGTCCCGAGGCCAACGTGCTCACAGAGCTCCACTGAGATCCTGCAGCCCAGGCTCAGTCTATTCAAAGAATAAGGGAAGCGCAGGAGCTGAAGAACCGCAGGTCCGAGTGGGCGAACGTCCGGGCAAGGAGAAGCAGGAAAGAGGCTAAGGCTGCCAGCCTTGCCAGGGACAGTGACGGAGAGGTGAACTGCAGACAGATCACAGAGGGGTGCCAGCGTGGACTTATATATGTGAGCTGCACATATATAACGCGTACACCTGATGCCCGCGAGGTTTTTCCTTCCCATAGGAACAGGTTAAAAGGCAGCCATCCTTCTGAAGTAGCGTATGCCCGCGTCAGGACTGCTGACATGTCTATTCCTCCAAAGTTTTGCGGAACGCGGGTGGTCTCAGCACCACAGCGTGTCCTGTGCGTGCTGGGCGCTTTGCGTTCAGGTGCGTGCCGGCCCTGCCTGCAGGGGCCACGCTGGGGCCCGAGGCCTCGCGGAGGCCAGGACAACCTCCGTGCCGTGGTCACTAAGAAGCGGGGCTCAGCTTCTGCACCTGCTCAGAAGCAAATCAGCTCCCAGCGAACTTCAGCGATAGTTAAACAATGTGTATTTTTATCCCAGAGTTGGTGTGATGTACTCAGTTTCTTTAGGGCCTCCTATGACTTGTTAAAGTGCTCCTAGTGATTTCATCCTGAATGTTTTCAAGTATGAAAACGGCGAGATGAAATTCTGTAATTTAATCTAACAAATTCTGATGACACTAAATTAGAAAAATTTTGATTCCTATTAATTACTTGGACTTAAAAAAAGACCATGTTGCCAGTTAAAAATAGTGTTTAAAATATATAGAAGATGATATTATTAAAGGGAAAAAAAGCCTTTTTCTACTCTGGGCATTTTTCTAAGCTGCGTTTGGTAAAACAGTAATACCAGGTATGTATTTCCAAAGCATCCCTGATTCTGAGGCATGTGTGAACAAAGGGTGGGACGGGGGAGGATCCCCACTGGCGTTCCCACGGTGCCCCAAGCACACGGCGCAGGAGCACACGCTGAAAGACAGAAGGCGACCTGACGACGCGTGGCCCCTGCAGCCTGCACCCTGACGAGAGCTCTGACCACGGATGCCACCTCAGGAAAGTGGCATGTGAACACCTCTGCGTTGCCCAGAAGGGCCAGGGTGGCCATTTTTAAGGCAAATTATTAATAAAAGGCTTTTTAAAAAAACAATGAAGTCTTCATTTAAAGAAACTTAAAAAGGGAATTTGGTCAAACATTTGACACCAAACACTTCTGTCCCCGTCTCCAGCTTTGTGGCTCAGCCTGGGTCCCGTTTTCTGAATTATGCATGGGTCCTGAGCACACCATGTGACGCTAGCTGCCTCAGTCTTTCCAGCTGCAGAATGGGCACGGAAGTGGGTGCGTGAGGGAGGAGGCCTGGTGGTCCCTGCCCTGCAGGCTGCGGAGGGAAGGCTGTGCTGAGCTCAGGGCCTGGGTGACCACCCCTTCCTGCCTAGGGACCCCTCTGACACCTGTGTGAGGAGTCATATGGCCGGCTCTCACTGTCAGCTCTGTCCGAGCCTTCACGGGTGGGGTCTCGGGCTGTGTGGACAGACGCTGAGGGAGAAGCCCTGGTTACATGTGACTGATGGAAAACATAGCCCACCAGCAGTCTGAAGGTGAAGTGGTAGTGGGCTTCCTGGTGTGGGGCTGCTGTGCCTGGCGCCTGCGGACGCTGTGCTACAGCGTGTGGACTCGGGGCTCTGGGAGGGGTGGAGCCTGCTGCCCCAGGTCTACCGCCCCAAGCGCGCGGAAGGCAGGGAGTATCACCTTGTTCCGTCAGAAACTCAGGCTGCTGGAAGTCTGAGAAAGCATAAAGATGGTTGACTGCTCGACAGAAAGGCACTGGCTCTTAGTCTGAGTCCCGAGGTCAGTGGCCACACGCACAGGGGCGTGTGAACAAGGTGTGGGAGTTTAGGCAAAGCGGTCAGAAGACAGAAGAAAACAGGAAGGAGAGAGAAACAAGAGACAGAGTGGAGTTAGTCAGAGGCTCACCACCACATGCACGTTCGCCTGGCCACTCTGGACAGACACCGGTGCCCACGCTGTGACCTGCCAGCCCTCCACCCTTGGCTTCATGCCTCCTGCAGGTCCCTGCGTGGTTTTTCATCAGGGTTGCTGGGGCCCTTGTGGGATGCCGAGACCCACAGCAGAATAGGGGCTTCTAAACAAAGGGTGGGACAGGGAGGGTCCTGACTGGCATTCCCACAGTGCCCCGAGGCCCGCCCACCCTGGGGACGGGCCACAGAGCGGAAGGCCTGTGGTCAGATGTGTCCGGGGCACGGCTCTCAGCAGCCCTGACTCTGGAGGCTGCATGCGTACTGTCCGGAAGAGCCCAGAGTCCCGGGGAAGAGGCCCTCCTAACGCCCCGAGGTCATGTCCTGTGTGCTTGGGCATCTCTGACCAAGCACCACTGCATCCACGAGCGCCCTGGGGCCAGGTAGGGCTGAGACTCTCATAAACACCAAGCCACACTGCTGTGGCCACAGCTGGGGGCCCGGCGGACACCCCCAAGCTGTACCTGCTCGCCCTTGGTGTCAGACACCAGCCCTGCTGCCTCCTCTGTGCCCGGTGTCCTCGTGACCTGCCTGACTGCCATGTCCCCATCTATGGGATGTGGTTATGACATGTGTCCCGTGCGCAAAGCCCTGCCGTAACATGTGTGCCCGCTGTGAAGCCAAGGACCACGCTTCGAGAAAAGTGCCATTGCAGGGCTGGGCAGTGGCTGCCTGGTGCAAGTCTCCCTGCAGCACTGGGGGCCATGGAGTCTCAGGCTGGGCCCCGGCTCCTGCCCCCGCTGGCTGGTCACAGGCAGGGCTCCCCTCCCTGCACAGAGGCCCGCGGTGGGACTGTCTCAGAGGAGCTGACACGTGCATCCTGTTGTATTTCTCCTGCCCGTCCCCCGAGGCAGTGGAGCTGTGCGTGGACATCTTCACTATGCTGAGAGGGGGTTTCCTCACTGTGAGCTTTGCTCGCTCTGATTTTACAAACCGTGGCAGGAGGCATGAAGGAGGGAGTGCCAGGAACTGCTGGCGTCAGTTTCAACATTTCAAACAGGCACCAATGACGGCTTTCAAGCCAGGATCCCATTCTGACTGCTGGAGGGGGGGTGGGTGGGACTGTGCCCCCGAGGAGGGCGACCTGTCTTCCCTCCCATCTGGGAGCCGGGCCCCGGGTGTCTGGGCTGCAGGAGTCAGTCAGGGCTGGGGCCCCAGAATGCCCTTGCTCTCTGTCTTCCTCCCGCCTGCGCCGCTGTGTCTGTCCTGGGCAGCTTCACAGCCTGCAGGAGTGGCCACTGCCGGGGCCTCCCCACCGGGCTTCTGCCCTGCCCAGTCCAGGGCCCCACCTCACAGGGCAATTAGAAATTCTGGGGAATGGGCCAGGTGCGGTGGCTCATGCCTGTAATCCCAGCACTTTGGGAAGCTGAGGCAGGCAGATCACAAGGTCAAGAGATCAAGAACATCCTGGCCAACATAGTGAAACCCTGTCTCAACTAAAATACAAAAATTAGCTGGGTGTGGTGGTGCGAGCCTGTAGTCCCAGCTACTCAGGAGGCTGAGGCAGCGGAATTGCTTGGAGCTGGGAGGCGGAGGTTGCGGTGAGCCAAGATTGCACCACTGCACACCAGACTGGCGCCTGGCGAAAGAGCGGGACTCTGTCTTAAAAAAAAAAAAAAAAAAAAAAGGGGGAATGCAACTTGAAAACCTGCATTGTTAACAGAGTCCTGTGACAGGTGCGGTGGCCCGCCGAGGGCAGGCAGGCTTCTTGTGACAGCAGCAGAAGACACGGTCACTGCCCCTGATTTAGGGTTGGGCTGTCCCTCAACTCCAGGCCTGAGCTTGAAGCAAGAGCCCAGTTGCTGCAAAGGATGGGGGGCCGGGGGCCGAGTCCTCACACCTGTCGAACCCTGCACCTGGGCGGGGGGCACTCAGCATCGTCACATCTTCCCAGGACCCAGAATTCTGCTTGTGGCTAAAACTTGGGAGTGTGGAAAATAAGCAGCTCCGCCAACACCAGCATTTCCTGGTATAAATGCTTCCATTTCCAGCCAAATTTACCCCCCTTAAAAATTATGTCATTCAACCTTTTAAAGTAATGATTAATCTTAAAAAATCTTGCATTTACATAAAATAATTTGCCTTCTGTATGAATCTTTTTCTCTTATCTGTGTCTTATTTCAGATGACTGTTTAGGCTGAAACATAAACATCAGTCATACCAAATTTCCCAGACGTTTAACATCATGCGTCACTGGGAATCTCATTAACGATACTTGGACAGACCATATTTTCATGAAACCCAAACTTTTCACGCTATCTGTCAAAACGGTCATCTCCCAGTCCTAAGGCCAGGGCACTGGGGCACCCCTGCCCCGGCTGGGGACGCTCCATACCTGGACTCTCTCTGTTGCCGTCGGCCACAGCTGCCGGCACAGGACCTTCTTGAGGACGTCGGGAAGGAGGCTGACGGTCACCAGCAGCACGATGGCCAGCCAGGCGGGCCCGCTGGACAGCATCTGGATAAACACGTAGTACATCCTCTGGTAGTTGAGGAACGGCCTGAGGGGCAGGGAAGAGAAGCCGCAGGTGAGGCCTGTACTCGTCGGGGACGGGGCCGTCTGTCCTGGGAGTTTGCACCTTCGTCAGTGAGAGTTGCTTGGCAAGCCACATAGCCTGCTCTCAATGTATCACGTAAAAAATGAATGTGGAACCTCCCGGCAATGCTGGGCAAGAGGAACGAGAGGAGGAATTCTGTGACATCATTTCAAAGGGAAAACAGAAGTCTCTGAAGTTCAGTTTCACAGACACAAAAAGAAGGGGACTGGAACGGGGGTGCTTTTCTATCCCGACGCCTCGGCCATCAGGTGGGAAGGCTGTGCTAGCGCTGGCCGTCAAAACAGAGCGGGCAATGACGCCCTCCCCGGAAGGAGGGTAATTCAAAGAAGATGTCTTCGTCGGGCTCCTTGAGCTGGCAAGGTGGGACCGGGGGCCCCACAGCCAGCCCGAGCCCACAGAGCCACTTCTATCCGTGCCTCCCGGTAAGGATTCCCACTCGCCTTCCACGTCCCGGGCACCATGGACAGTGGCAGAGTCACAGAGACGGGGCCCACCCCAGGAGCACAGTGAGCAGGGGTGTGGACCACGGAGGGAAACAGGAGCACGCGCGGTGGGTGACAGGGGACGCAGAGCCGCCGGCAGGGCTGGGACGGGGCTGCGGGCTCCCATGCGGTGCCGGTGGCGGGCAGGAGGATGGGTCTTGTCACCAAGAGGGGGTGATGTGGCGAGCTCCCAGCACATCAGTGTTTTAGGAAATGAAACAAGAGGCCGGGGGCTCTACCCGGGCGGACGCGCCGTGGCCCCTTGGCTCGGAGAGGTTCTGGGATGGGATCTTCTTACTCAGCCACAGCCTTCGGGGCTGCTGGAACGCGGGGCTCTCCGAGGCCGGGCGGCCTTCTCCGGGGCAGGCAGGCGACTGGAATCCTTGAAGCTCGGCTCTCAGCTCTGGGACTGTGTAATGCGAGCCGGGGCCACCAGGGGCCGCCGGCTGAACGGGAGAATCTGGAGGGACGCTTCCTGAGCTGAGAATCCCGCCCAGGTCAGGGGTCCTGAGGGTTGCCCTGGCCCCAGGGCTGCAGAGGGCTGTGGCCGAGGCTGAGACTGGGATCCGGTCTGGGGCCACCACCCAGCGTCGTTTCCTGGCTTCCCGTGACCGTCTCTGGACTGACCACCCTGCCTGCATCGCTCTCACCAGCTCAACACGCAGCCGCCCGACTCCGCTGGGCTCTGCCCACAGCCCTCCAATGACTCGACTGACCATGGCAGCCTCAAGCCAGGATCCCCACAGCCGGCGGGCCAGGAGGCTGCCCTGCCTGCTCTGCAGCCTGGTCCCGGCCCCTCTCTGCTGGCCACGGCTCCCACTGACTGAGGACCTCCCCCGCCCAGGCCTGCGCTCCTCCTGCTGCCCCCCGGGAGTCAGGCTGCCGTGGGCAAGGTCTGGCCCTGCCACGCATATGCCTGGACCCATGTCGTCTGCGGTGCGTGAGGATGGAGTGAGATGACACCTGTCGAACGCGAATGCCTGGCCGGCGCCTCGTCTGGGAGGCGGTGAGCAGCCGGGACGTGCTGCGGTGACGCTGCCCTTCTTCCGGGTTTCAGTTTAAACGATGACCTTTTCTGAGAAGCCATCTCTAGCCCTTCAGTCTGACACAGGTCCCCTGGTGCAGAATCCTGGTCTGGTCCTCCACAGAACTCACCACTCGCTGTTACCAGTTAGCATCTCTCTCCCGCAGGTGCAGGTCACAGGAGCAGGGACCAACCCCTGCTGTGTCTTGCCCCCAGGTGTATCCCAGGACCCCACATGACGCCCAGCACACAGTAGGTATTTAACAAACTTTGGCCCCAACCAGCAGCCTCGCTGGAAAATGCGTCTTCAACCCCTGATTAAAAAATAGTGCCAGACGACTGAGGTAGTAACACTCACGTGACAGGTACCAGATTATCAGTTATTTATCAGATATTTACCAGATCACTCCTCCCCAGAGAAGCGAGAAGACGACGTAGAACAGCAGTGACCCCCAGATGACAAAATGGTTGATCCAAGTCCAGTAGTGTGTGTCTAACGCAAGCTAAAAGGAAAAAAAAAGGCAGTGAGTAGTCAGGATTGGTGACAGGAGAGAGAGCTGGGGGTGACGAGAAACGAAACCAAACAGGAGATCCAGCCTTGGCGACTCAATACCCACATAAAACCGCCCAGGAAGTCACAACCACACCTCACACAGCCTGAGAGGGGGGCGTGGTGACGCCACAGTCCCGGATCCCGGAGAAAGGGCCGTGGGTCATTTCCCAGATGAGGGTGTGGGGGCCATGGATTAAGGCGTTTACATCACCACCGAAGAAAGTCACCTCAGATTAAGGTGTTGTTTATGTCACTACCTAAGAAGGTTACTTTTTAAAATGTATTTATTTGAGACAGAGTCTCTCTCTCGCCCAGGCTGGAATGCAGTGGTGCGATCTCAGCTCAGGCAATCTGTGCCTCCCGGGTTCAAGCGCTCTGCCTCAGCCTCCCAAGTCGCTGGATTACAGGCGTTCACCACCGCACCTGGCTAATTTTTGTATTTTTGGCAGAGACACGGCCATGTCGCCATGTTGGCCAGGCTGGTCTCGAACTCCTGACCTCAGGTGATCCACCTGCCTCGGCTTCCCAAAGTGCTAGGATTATAGGCGTAAGCCACTGTGTTTAGATTAGAAAGTTAGTTTAGATTCAGGTGTTGTTTATATCACTATCTGAAAAAATCACTTTAGGAATGTTTTGCTATCACTTTTTAAGACTCAGTCTGATAGGTTTTGAGATTTCACAGTGATACATTCTGTATAGAATTTCACTGGACTTAAAAAAGAGTGAAATTTTCCAAAATACATTAATTTGTTCCAATTAAAATGTATTTTGATGGCGCTGGGGGAAGGGCTGCTTGCCACTGAAAAGAATTCTAGCCTGAATTCTTTCACCAAGAGGCAGCGCTCCCCTGAGGTTTCCTTCGACATAGTTCTGGGGTTTACACACGGGGTGGCCGGTGTGCTGAGTGGCTGTGCATTACTTGTCTAAACAGCAGGATGAGGATGCCCAGGGGTGCTGCAGGAGTTGGCCTGGGCTGGGTTTAGGGTGGCTTCCAGCCTTAGTACGAAGTTCTAATTCAGAGAGCTCAGAGGGGTGAGGCCTGCACAGCAGTGACTGGCTGTGGCTGGGGGGTGGGGGGGGGGTGGAACGTGAGCATCAGAACTCTCAACTTTGGTGTGACTGACACCAGGGACTCCCTGTGGCTGGGGGGACGTGGGTGTGGGAGCACTGACCTTTAGTGTGACCGTGAACACCATCACAGTGAACACCAGCGTCCCAAACGTCCAGTTTCCAAATATCTGTTTGGGGAAAACAGTCCAAGTCATCTTGTTTTTATGTAAAGTTTTAGAAAATACATCTCATTTTTCTTGCTTGCTAACACTTCAAACCTCACAGATACAAGAACTATGTTTTCTTTTTATCATGTAAAACGAGATGCAACAGCCCCCCCCCCCCCCCCCCCGCTCCTGGGGCACAGCAGGACACCCCAGTCTGTGGCTCAGTGAGGGGCTCAGAGCCCACCTATCCGGAACTTTCTGCCTGCTCTTGACACCAGCCCTGCTCAAGGCTCTCAGCCATAACAGATGTCGGTTGGTCCCAACGTCTCAAACTAAGCTCAGAAACTCCCTCACGGCTGGCATTGAAACATCCACAATGCGAACGTGGGGGAACCTGAGGACCTGCGAACCTCCTTTTTCTGTTTTGTGCTTTATGTAGAAGAGACGGATGCCTGATGACCCAGCCACGCTGTGCAGGTTTCAGGAATAGTCTTGTACCTTTGTGTCTGTTCCCTTCTGAACTCAGCTCAGACTCCTGCCTGCTGTGGAAGAACAGCGGCTGGAATGTTCTGTGAGTGCATGATCAGGGAAAACAGCCGGGCACCCACGCAGAGGTGGAAGCTCCAGGGCTTCTCATTGGGGAACCTTCCTCGGGAAGGGAAGACAAGCAGGCAGGCAGGACAGAGCTGGACAGAGGCTGCCCTGCGTGTGGCCAGAACAGAGATCCGCCAGCAGCCACACCCAGGAGGCTGCGGAGGAGGGAAGGCCAGCGGGACCCACCAGCTGCCAGCTGGCAACACAGCAGGATGCAAAGGGCACCGAGGTTTGGGGAAGCACAGACACAGACAGACCCCTAAGGATGGCACAGCGGATCCCTGAGGACCACACGCCCAGCTCATGAGGATGGCACAGTGGACCCGAGGACCACACGCCTTGCTCATGAGGATGGCGCAGTGGACCCCTGAGGACCACATGCCTTGCTCATGAGGATGGCGCAGTGGACCCCTGAGGACCACACGCCTCTCTACCGCACGAGGCACAAGCCAAAAAAAGGGCCTGCTACCCAGGGCCCCTGGCTCGGTGAAAACCCTGACTGGAAACTTTATCCCACGAGAACTGCTTTCCTTCACTGTGGCCCATTTCTAGTTTGTGGGATTCTGTGAACTGCGCCTCTCAGGGAATTTTGTTTTCTAAAGAATTAAAAAGCTGTAATACACATGGCTTTTCTTCGGAATTCACTTGCAACAAAAACAGTCTGCCTATCACCACAGCCCCAACTCAGCTGGGGTGAGGGTGTGGGCTAAGTCCTCCCACGGCCAGATCCTAGACAACAGCGTTTGAACTTCTGTGGTGAACACCGGCCTCTTCCTCTGGGCTGGAAGCACAGGCCCAGTGTCACTCAGCTCTGCACACGCTGTGGTTCTTGGCCGGGGCAGCCTTGTACCCAGGGAGACGCCTGGCCGTGGCAGGGACATTTCCAGGGTGTGGGGTCTGCTAGCTTTGGATGGGGGTGAGGAGCTGCCGAGTCACAGGACAGTGGCCCGTGAGGAAGAACACCCGGCCCCAGTGTCCTCAGAGCCAGGGTGACAGGCCCGCTGCGCTCTTGCCAGAAAGTGCTCTCTCTTCGTGGCTTTGCTTCTGGGGCCGAAGACTTCCTGACTCTAGGAACAGTTGTGGTGGGCAGCAGCCTGTGAGCGCGGGCGGCCAGCGCGGTGCTGGAGGGCGAGAGGCTGCTGTGCTGCCACTGGAAGCCAAGGCTGTGGGCCAAACGGTGAGGGCAGCTTTGTGCCCAGACGGGCACACCCGCTGGACCTGGAGGAAAAGCCCCTCACGCTGCCCGGCCCTCCTCGTCCTCCCCGGGCCCCGCCTTGGCCGTCTCCACACAGGACTCTGAGAAAGCTGGAGGCAGCATGACACCAACTCGAGGGTGCCCCGTCAAGCAGTGTGTGCCACCGGCAGTGTCACAGGTGACAGCCACAGCTAACTCACACAGCCTCCGCACCTTCCCCGCTCCCTGCTGGGGGCCGTGATGCCGCCTCTCTGTGCTCCCTGCTGGGGCTCCTTGGGTCTGGGGGTCATGGCAGAGCTGGGACGGGCATCAGGCCTTCGGATGCCTGCCCTGCAGAGCGCGTGGGCCACAGCTGTAATCTCTACAGAAAGCACAGCTACGTGGCCCCGGAATCAGGCATTTCGGTCAGGGCCCCGAGAAGCGCTGACCCCTCACTGACCTGTGTCCACGTCCTTCGGATGTGGTTCGCCCTGGAGCTATTGTGAAACACATCTGGAAAGCCCTGTTATTCCCTTGGTTCCCCGAAGTGGGGGCCCCAGGTGAACTGCAGTGACGTGGTTTGCTCTGTCCTCACGCAAATCTCATCTCGAACTGTAATCCCCGTGTGCTGGAGGGAGGGCCTGGCGGGAGGTGGCCGGATCGTGGGGTGGACGCCCCGGCCGACCTCAGGACAGTGAGTGAGTTCTCTGGACGTGTGAAGTGTGTACCGCTTTCCCCTCGGTGCGCTCTTGCGTGCCGCCGTGTGAGGAAGGTTCTTGCTCCCCCCCGCCGCCTCCCGCCATGATTTTAAGTTTCCTGAGGTCTCCCCAGCCACGTTTCCTGTACAGCCTGCAGAACTGTGGGTCAATGAAGCCTCTTTTCTTCATAAATCACCTGGTCTCAGGTAGCTTTTTAGAGCTATGTGAAAATGGACTAATACGTGCGGAGAGTTTATTATGATTGCTGGTTGTTATTTCCAGTTGGATGCTGGGGGTGGCTGGCATCCCTGGGACACCACTGGGACACCAATCTTCTTTCTCAAAGGGCTGTTCACAGGAACCCCTTTTTTCTAAGTGACATCAACACCATGATGTCACCCAGACAGGAACATCAGCTGGACCTGGAGGAAAACTGGTCCTCATGCCCAGTGAGGTTCCTGTTTCAGATTTCTGTAGGACCCCGTCCTCACATGACAGGCACATCTCAGCCGCGCACCTGAGCAGCCGAAAGCCTCGGTCCCTCAGCAGAGCCGCCTCTGGGGCTGGCCGCCCTCGCCCGCTGCAGGCTAAGCCCCTGTCCCCGGCGTCCTCCCTCCTTTGAGGATGAGTACTCCTATAGGAAGTTTTCTGCTCGGGCCTTCAGACCCAGACCAATTTAACTTTCATGTGTGAAAATCTCCCATGGCAAGCGTACCTTGCGCCTTCTCAAGGTCACGGTCACCAGCAGCACCCACTGCCTCCCTGCCTGTGCGGATCCCTGCGCCTCCTACCCCGCCCCCCACACGCGGACCGCTCACGTCTCATCTGTTCTCACTGCTTCTTCCCACCTCTATCAAAGCATATTCCAAGCATTTGAACGTTCACCTAGGAATATCCTGCTGTTCAACAAATCACTGTGGTCTTAGCATTCTCATTTGTGGCGTCAAAATGAGAAGTTCTCTGGCTTACAATGTCAGTGCAGAAAATGCTCCACTGGTGAACTTTTGAAAAAGGTGTCCATAATTCTATTGTTCCTTTAGGGCCACACAGGATCTAGAACATTCCTATAGAATAATTTAGGTCTTTAACACAAAGCAGTCCTCACCTAAGAACAATCAATTCCCGAGGGCCTCTGCCCTGTGACCCCATCAGGAGCATCACGGTTGGAAGGGAAAATTCTCAGGGGTGAGCTCCCAACCCCCAATTGCTACCTAAGGACCAAGAGGGCTGTCAGCCCTTAGAACTGCCCTCAGGTTCCCTGAGTGCTGGCATCACCCCGGGGGTGAACTGGCTGCCGTGGGGGCTCAAGGTACCTTCCAAGATGCAGCTGGGGGCTGGAGGGGACTGCCGGAAGAGCCCGGGAAACAGGAGCTAGTGAACGCTCGGATCCCAGGAAGGGCAGTGCAGCCACCTGGGGACACGTCGGGGCTCCAGGGACCGGAGGAGGTGGAGACATTGCAGAGGCCCTGCTGGGAAGGCCAAAAGAAGCCTCTGGCACTGCCTCGCCAGCACCTCGTTCAGGAGCACGGCCGGCAGCCTTCCAAGGACAGTGGCGGCCGTGTCCTCGCCCCTGAAGGGGGGCCATCTCCAGGGGCTCTTGAGAGGCACCTTCACATTCATGCTGAAATTCGGAACCAGAACAACCCAGAGTACACACCAGGCAACACCATGAAGTTCTGTGCTGGACATCTGGGTGTCACCAGGCCCTGCCCCTCAGGAGCTGACATTGCGCAGGGGTCGAGCCTGTCTGACCCTCTTTCCTCGGCCTCCACAGGATCTCAATGTCCTGGTGGCTATAGAGGCCCAGGATGACGCTTGTGAGAGAAAGCTGGGAAGTCGAGCCTGGGACAAATGGGACTTGCCGTTGCTATCGGCAGGTGGCAGGAGCCTGGCACGTCCGTGGGCAGGACACTAGATCTTAGTTCTTTTTAAGGTCTATGGAATCTCAGTGCCCAGGACACTGGGGCTTAGTTCTTTTTAAGGTCTATGGAATCTCAGTGCCCAGGACACTAGGGCTTAGTTCTTTTTAAGATCCATACAAGATGCTTACCTAAGCCCAACCCGGAGGAACATCTTATAAAAGACACCAAAGAATCAACAGGTAGCTCTATTTGACTATGTTCATGGCGCGGTGGCATTCAGGAATTAGTCAATTAAAATAAACTAAGAGAAAGAATACATTCTAGAAAAATGTAAAGTTTTTAAAACAGTGAAATAACATTTGAATGGATTCTCAAAATTGACCTGGTAAAAAAGGATTTAAGTTATAACGAACGGTAACAGCGGAGTTCAGCAGTGAGAGATGAAAGCGACTAGGCAGGTACACGGCGCACAGGACACACGGCAGGACTGTGGTGTTTGAACCATCAGTCTGAGGGGCGAACACAGAGGGCGAGGGAGGTCAGGCTAAACAAGAAACGAAGCAGAGTTCTGTTTAGGAGTCACCCGGAAGGGGCTGCTGAAGAGGGACTTTCTCTGAGGTCAGCACTGGCGTTTGCTTGTTCGGTTAGTTAACACCTGGGACGTTGAAGTAGGGATGGTCTCTGGCATCTGCTCAGGGCCTGGCGCAGCTCTCAGGTAGCACGGGTCCCCAGCGGGCCTCCCACACCTGCCTGTGCTGCCTTTAATTTAAAGTCGAGGGAAGCTCCCATGAATCCAGGCAATTTGGATGGCCAACCCTGACACGGACACCGCGGGGACCGGCCAGGGACATGCCCAGGATGCGCACGCACCCTCCTAACACAGAGCGAGCTCCAGGTGCGAGGGCAGCAGCGGCTAACAGCGTTTCTACCGACAAAGCACACAGGAAGTCACGTGTGAAAATATTTTCAAGAAATATTTTTTTGTAATGCACTCCAAAAACACAGAAACGACAAACCCGTAATTGTCTTACCATATGTGTGTTGGTAGTCATTATCTGAGGGTGGGAAGGGAAGCCAGTGGCAAGGAGAAAAAAGCAAGATACAAATAAAACAAACCCCCAGGGATTAGGCCAGCAACCAGAGAGCTGAATGTCCGTCCGAAAACTACGCATCTGTTCACCGCAAAGGAAACAGACTCACGGGCAGTACTCGGGGAAATCCTCTAACACGGGCTCACCATGGAACTGACTCCCAAATTTAAAAAGCAAGGTCTGCGTGGCGTAATTGTACCACTAGGTAATCAGCTGAGGGTGAACTGTAAGCTACACACACAAAGTCTGAAAAACCTCAGCAGGACCTTTCCCTACAGAGACACTGAGCACTCCGGTAACACCATCTTTAAGCGACCCGTAGCTATGCCCAGATGGGGACTGACCCCATCGGGAAGTCGCAAGGGCTGTACTGAATTAATTGCTTTGACAAAATAAGCATATGGGCCTGGCAGGGTTTATTCCTAGGCAGCTAAGTCTGCGCGACCGAGCCCCGTACTCACCTGCCCGTTGCTCGTCACGGTTGTGTTTTCAAACATGAAATAAGCACCAAAGAAGAACACCAGCGCATCGAACAGTCCCAGGAGCGTCCAGTAAATGAAGACACGCCACCGCAGCAGGGCGTTCTTGGCGACGTCCCTGTGTGAGGAGAAAGGGGCACAGGCTGTGTCCTCGAGAATCTGGCCCGGCGCCTCCCGGCGCTCTGGGTGGCCACCCCTGGACGCTGTCTCGATGCAATAAGATGTGCGTGGGCAGTAAACATCAAGTTTGTGCTCTGGCCACAAATGCAGAATGTTCGTCACAACCAGCTAAACTTACTAGGCACTCATGTCTTTGGCTATCTTTCATTTGGATATTTTCTCTCTCATAGTCACAGGCAGAGAGATGCTTCTGGTTTTGAAAGTAACGAACATGGAGCACAAGGCACACACCTGACATTCATGGAGCTTGCAACCACTCTTGACGTGATGCCTTACACCTGTTCAGGGAGAGAATGTGCAGGATGCCCTCGGACATGTCTAGAACAGCACAGTCTCTCCTGTTTTCTTAAGACTGATTCCTGACTATGAAATATGTACAACAAATTCAGAAGTTTGCCTTCTTATTGCCGTCCTTAATCACCTCTGCTGATTATTTTTGGGTCTGAGCTGTCAAGATCCCACAGACTGGCCAAATATTCTGATGAGGGCAGTGAGGCCAATGCATGGGTCCTGTAGATCCTGGGCAGGGGAGTGAGGGGGTCTTGGCTGTGGTGGTGGGCGCAGGAGGCATATGTGAGGAGGCGGTACAGACCTGAACACACATACAAGTATCACTTACACACATGCACGCATGTGAGGAGGCTGCACAGACCTGAACACACGTGTTACACACAAACGTGAGGCTGCACAGACCCAAACACACATGTGTCACATACACGTGCACACACGTGAGGAGACTGCACAGACCTGAACACACGTGTTACATACACACGTGAGGCTGCACAGACCCAAACACACACGTGTCACGTACACGTGCACACATGTGAGGAGGCTGCACAGACCGGAACACACGTGTTACATACACACGTGAGGCTGCACAGACCCAAACACACACGTGTCACATACACGTGCACACATGTGAGGAGGCTGCACAGACCTGAACACACGTGTTACATACACACGTGAGGCTGCACAGACCCAAACACACACGTGTCATGTACACGTGCACACGCGTGAGGAGACTGCACAGACCTGAACATGCACACATGTCACATACACACAGGTACACATGTGAGACTGCAGGCCCAAACATGCACACACACGTCACATACACACATGTACACATGTGAAGTGGCTGCACAGACCTGAACACACACACGTCATGAACACATGCACACGTGAGACTGCACAGACCTGAACATGCACACGTGTCATACACACAGGTACACATGTGAGACTGCAGACCCAAACATGCACACACACGTCACATACACACATGCACACATGTGAAGTGGCTGCACAGACCTGAACACACACACGTCATGAACACATGCACACGTGAGACTGCACAGACCTGAACATGCACACTCATGTCACGTACACACACACACGTGAGGTGTCTGCACAGACCTGTACACACACATCACATACACACGTGAGATGGCTGCACAGACCTGGACACACACGCGTCATGTACACACACGCACATGAGTGCAGGCAAAGCTGGGTGATTTGAATGGGGGAAGGGGTGAAGGGCACAACGTCACTGGATGTGATGCTGGACTGCAGTTTCTCATGTGTCACCACTGAGGGACACAGGATTGGGGCCCACAGAATCTATTATTTCTTACAACTGCAAATGCATCTAAAATTATCTGAAAAACAAAAGTTTAACTTCTATGGTTTGACTGTGTCCCCACCCAAATCTCTTCTTGAAATGTAGCTCCTGTAATCCCACGTGTCAAGGGAAGGGCCCTCTGGGAGGTAATTCAATCACAGTTTTTTCTTCCCGTGCTTTTCTCATGATAGTGACTAAGTCTCACAAGGTCTGATGGTTTCGTAAAGGGCCGTTCCCTGCACACGCTCTCTCGCCTGCCGCCATGGAAGACAGGCCTTTGCCCTCCACCACGATTGTGAGGCCTCCCCAGCCATGCGGGACTCTGAGTCCATCCATGACACCTCTTTCCTTCATCAATGACCCAGTCTCGGGTGTGTTTTCACAGCAGATGAAAATGGACTCAAACGATTTAGCAGACAATGGGAAACACTAACATATGGAATCTGCCAGAGACCTTGGTGGGCATTTCTGAAGAGCAGAAAAATCTCTCTTACATACCATTAGTAAAAACCTTTTGGGGGAAAAGACACACTGAAGCCAGAGCCGTTAGTTTTTCTTTTTCCTCACTGGATGGAACACACATGGTTTTAAAGACTAACTTAGGTCACAGATGTCCTGGGGTCACGAGGCAGACACCTGTACCCTGGCTTCTTCAGGACCGTCAGAAAGCTCAGGAAGTGCAAACTGGCTCCACACAGATGCCCCAAATGCGGCGTAAACCATCCGGCGAGCCTGGAAGAACCTCTGTTTGAACTATGTCGCTTCCAGTTTAAACCGGCTCCCGGCCAAGCAAGTGTGTCAGCAGAGGCCAAGTGTCTCCGGCCCTAACTGAGGTCTGCCAGGCGTCTGCTGGAGGGAAGTGCCAGCGCGCTGCCTTGCTGTTCCCGCCCTCTCAGGAGGGGCCGTCTGGGGGACAGTACCTGTACAGGGTCGGGTCTCTCTTGAGCACGTCGATCCCGACGTGCTGCTCCATGAGGCTGTACAGGAGGATGGGGAGGGAGGTGAAGCTGATGTTGTACAGCGTCAGGTACGCGGTGTCGTACAAAGTCTGAGAGAGGAAAGTCACAAGGAAGGGGCACCTCAGTGCGTTTTTAAAAACTTTTTGGATCTTTAGATTAAATATATTTATTTGCAAAGAATCACAAAACAAGCATGAAATGCATCTGAAATGCACAGAAAGACCAGAGCACTTTTCAAAGCTTAATGATATAAACTAGGGTCTGTGATATAAACTGTGACTTCAGGATGAAAGTGACAGCTGGCAGAAAGCCTAACACTGACTCGTCCCATTCTATTAACACTAACTTCAAGAAAAAAAAAAAAAAAAAAAAAAACGGAGGGAAAGTCATATGAAGCATCAGCGACTCTCATTGCAGTCTTCAAGCTTTACTGTCTGCTCCCAGTCACTTCCCACGAGCGCAAACGTGACAGAAGGAGATGTCCGTCTGGGGCAGGTGCCCGGGGAGCCTTCACCCCTTCTGGCTGGGAACTGTCTTCTTCCCCCATGGGCACACTGCACCCATTAACGTGCCAGTGCTGGGTGGCCCAAACCCATGAGGACCTCAGAGCTGGAGTTAATCCTTGCAGTGGTGTCAGGAAGCCTGGCCTGGTGCTGCTGGGCCCTGGGGAGGCCACATCATCACTAGCCCAAGACTCAGAAGACCTGGAGCCAGCCAACTCCCTGGCACCGTGGCCCCTGCCCCGTCCCTGACCCTTCACCCCTGCCTGCTGCTGGGCATCTGGAATGCTGCTCATTCCCAAGTCTCCCCTCCCCCTGGCAGCCACCCCTGGGGGAAGGAGAGGAAGGCTGAGACAGCCTGTCCCTGAGGACCTTAGGACTGACCTGTTGTGAAAACCCACAGAAGAACTGGTATAAAAACTGGGGGAAGATGAAGCAGACGTTCTGAAAGACAAGGCACAGCGGTTAGTTCAGAGACGGTGCCGTGGGAGGTGCCACCACCTACCAACGTGGCCTGCCCACGCGGGAGAGCAATCCCTGCGTGCCCAGCTTTCTGCAGAACAGCACTCATGGGCTCTGGAAAGCATTCTCTTATTTCAGGGGCAACTGAAATGCACATGTGACCATGTTCTGGCCGCTCTGAGGACAGATAATGTACATGTTCTGGCCACTCTGAGGACAGATAATGTAAAGGGGAAATCTGTCAGCTCAAAGAGGAGAGGTGGCGTGCAAAGATCTGAACTGCACCACGGATCGGGAATTCTAAATACCCCTGCCTCAGACGTGCCGTCCGCTAGCTTCTCACTGCTGTCACACTCAGTTCTGTCGACGGAAGGAAAGCACCAGGGGTCTCCTCCTGGGCACAGCAGCCCTCCTCATCCTCGGGGGCACACTCCCAGACCCCTGGGGGATGCGGAAACTGCGGGTGGTCCTGAACCCTGTCTACACTGCAGATGGGTATGTGTGTTCTGACACATACATCCCATCATAACATTTAACTTATAAAGTAGGTGCAGTAAGAAAGTAACAACAACACAGAATAACTATAATAACACAGCATAATAAAAGTGACATGAATTTGGTCTTGCCCTCTTCCTCTTAAAATACATTATCATGCTGTATTCACCCTTCTTCTTGTGATCTGTCAACCTGCTCACTGAGACGGCTGCAGAGTGACTGAGGGGCGAGCAGTGTACACACAGTGTAGCACGCTGGACCAAGGGACGAGCCACATCCCGGGAAAAACAGAGTGGGACAGCGGGCCACTTCATCACGCTGCTTGGAATGGCATGCAATTTAAAACTCAGGAATTGTTTATTTCTGCAATTTTCCGTTTGACATTTTTGGGCCTGGGTTGACTGTAGGTAATGGAAACTGCAGAAAGCAAAGCCATGGCTGGAGGGGGATGTCTGCAATCAGATTCCCCCCTCCTTCCTGACAGGGACAGTTGTGGGGGATGACTGTAATCAGATTCCCCCCTCCTTCCTGACAGGGACAGCTGTGGGGGATGACTGTAATCAGATTACCCCCTCCTTCCTGACACGGACGGCTTGGGGGATAGACTGCAGATTCCCCCCTCTTTCCTGACAGGGATGGCTGAGGGGGATGTCTGCAGTAAGATTCCCCGCTCCTTCCTGACAGGGATGGCTGGGGGGGGTATGACTGCAATCAGATTCCCCCCTCCTTCCTGACAGGGATGGCTGGGGGGGGATGTCTGCAATCAGATTCCCCCCTCCTTCCTGACAGGGACAGCTGGGGGGGTATGACTATAATCAGATTCCCCCCTCCTTCCTGACAGGGACAGCTGGGGGGGTATGACTGTAATCAGATTCCCCTCTCCTTCCTGACAGGGACAGCTGGGGGGTATGACTGCAATCAGATTCCCCCCTCCTTCCTGACAGTTGCTTCCACTTTGAGATCAACGACCCCTTGGGGCATCAAGTGGCTCAAACAAGGGTGGGGCCACCCTGTGCACGATCTACTGCCGAGACCGCGACACAGAGCGGCCACCTCCTACCTTATAAAAGAAGTACTGCACGAGCTCAGATATCCTGATGTAATAAAAATGCCCGTGAACAAGCAGCATCTTCTTCAAATGCTTGAACTTCGGAATTGCGTAGTCGCTGTTCCGGGCCGCCTGGCGGCCTTCCTTGCCGATGACACCTAGGAGGCGGAGGGGAGGGAGCTGAGGACGCCCTTCCGGCACAGCACACCCGGGCGGCGACGGGGGAAGACCCCACGAGACCAACATCACGGGCCTTGCCGGTCACACGCGAGGGTGGTGACGGGGGCGTCCTGAACGCAGCACCTGCGTGCTGTCACGGCCTCTGTCTAGAGGAGGGGAGACCTGCCACCGGGACGTGCCAGCAGCAAGGGCGAGGCTCACCTATGCCCACGTGTGCTTCCAGGATCATGCTGACATCGTTCGCACCGTCGCCAATTGCTAAGGTGATTGGGTGCTCTTTTGAAAATTTGATTAATTTGACAATCTGCAGAAGAGAGAAATGCAGAATGGATCGCCTGTGGCACCTCTAAACAGGTCATTCATTCGCTGGGCAGAAATAACAAAGATGTGAAGTTATCCTGGCCAAGTAAAAAATCATCTATCTGCTTGGAGCTAATTTACTACATTCTGTTTTCTCCCTACAGGATAAAACCTGTTTCATATCGAAAGCAAAACAAAACAAGGTATGATTAAAATGGCGTGAGCTGGAAAAGGCTGGCAGGCAAACCCTGGCGGTGGAGACGTGAGATACATGAAGCAGTTCTTCATTACTGTCATATTCATCTATTTAAATAAATGGAAAATGTATAAATACTGGGAAAATACATTTAAATATAGAGGGTAAATGTGAACCTTGCATTCTGTTAGAAGACATTACTATTCCAAGCTAATTCAAGCTATTTGGTATAAAGCATCTCTTCCTAAAAATAAATTACTCCTAATGATGCTCTTTTAATTTTCAAATTTGTAACATGTACAAAATCAAATATGACAAAATTTTATGTAAAAGCAATTTCCAAGTTTTTGGTCAGTTGCTTTAACGTCTTTTTTCTTTCCATGTATGTGCAAGATATAAGAATGAAGAGATGGGGGAGATGCATGTGGTGCTTTCTTGTTTCAAGATGGGAAACTGAGACACAACTTAATTTGTACGAAACTTTTCAAAAGCCAGTGAGGACTTCAGAAAGTACTGTGGAATACATGAAGAGCCAACGGAAAGCCCTCTGCTGCTGTTCCGTTCGGGAAGTAACTGTGTAAGGTTTACATGCTGATACAGATGTGAGGGAGAGGGGACATCAGAGCGTCTTCCCCACAGGGAAGGTCTGCGAATGCTCTGGGCTCAGCCCGTCATTGTAAGAAGGACCCTGTTCTGTATATTTTGTGAAAGTGGCAGATTAGTGCACCCACATGCACAAACGCTCAACTTTTTACCTCTGGTTTCCAGAATTTGTGTGAGACGTATTTTACGTTACCCACTGGGTTGCTCTGACCAATTATGAATTTATTCATGAACAGTTCAAGAGAAATTGGCCTAATTTATCTAAAATGTGGTATAACAAAGTTGGAACTTTTCTAGGCTTCTTGATATCAGAAAGACATCCATGTTTACATGTATATTCCACAGTGCTTTTACAAGTATTTAAAGAAAAAACTTCAGGGTGTGTGTTTCCCAAAGAACATAGCAGAGTGAGACGTCTGCAGTTTGATGGACAAGACAAGTTGAATCCTCGTGGCATTTCCCAACTGCCGCCTTTTGGGCAAATCATTCCGATTTGTAAAGCTGGATGCCCTCACTCATCTGTCAGGGTGATCCTGAGGCTAAACGCGTTCGTGTCTGTGGAAGCGCACACCAGATGCTCGGTAATGTCAGCTCTCTTCCCCTACACATGTAGTGTACGTTCTCAGGACTGATTGAGACAGGCTTTTTTTAAAAAACAAACAAACAAACAAAAACAGGAGTCAGCCAGGGCAGCTGTCCTGGCCGCTGCATCTGGAACGGTCACACATCTGATCAACACTCACTCATCACCGGGGCTGGCCCAACAAGGAAAATAAGGTTCGCGTCTGAAATCTCTATCATGACTGCTTCTGTTTTTAACAGGTGGTACCCTGCTAGGATTTTCCACCGTCCGAGGTGGTGAGACCTAACGGGACGTTCTCAGTGTTTTGGGCGCCCTGACCAGCAGCCGCGGAGGACGGGCGGGCAGTACCTGGGCCTTCTGCAAGGGCGCCATACGGCAGCACAGCACCGCGCTGCAGCTGCGGCAGATCTCCAGGAAGAGCTCCCTGTAGTTGCCGGAACTTCCGTCTTCTCGCGGCTTCATGATCAGAGACAGCGCGGCTCCATCGATGATCAGACCGTAGTCCTGCATGTCTGCCGAAAGCCTGTTCGAGTACTCGAGTCAGAAAGGTTGCTCAGAAACGAAATCTAGAGATTTTAGAAGACTCCGTATTTTTTTGGATATCTACAGATGCTACGGATCCATGGCATTAAGCACCTTGGTCTACACCGAAGGGCGTATTTAAGGAAACATTCTTATTTTAGGTAAAGCAAGTGTCTGCTCTCTTTGTGGACTTGCCAAGTCCCCGTACTTCTGAAACAACAGAAAGGCATCTCTCCTGCAGTCTAAGATCTGGGTCAGTCTTTACTGGAAACCTTGTTGGTCACAGTCTGTCTGCACAGCCAAGTCCTTGGGTTTCTGCCCGGATGACCTAAGTTGGAAAGAACTTGATCAGCGCCTCTCTGCTGGCTTTCAAAATGACAAGGAGGCCGGATGCAGTGGCTCACACCTGTAATCCCAGCACTGTGGGAGACTGAGGCAGGCAGCTCACCTGAGGTCGGGAGTTCGAGACCAGCCTGGCCAACATGGTGAAACCCCTGTCTCTATTAAAAATACAAAAATTAGCCAGGTGTGGTGGTGAGCGCTTGTAATCCCAGCTATTTGGGCATCTGAGGCAGGAGAATTGTTTGAACCTGGGAGGCGGAGATTGCAGTGAGCCAAGATCGAGCCACTGCACTCCAGCCTGGGCAAGAGATTGAGACTCCATCTTAAAAAAAAACACACAAAAAAAGGAACATCTCTAATCCCTGAAAGGAGTTCTGCAGATTGCAGATCAGGTAGAGAGAAATGTCTGTGCTATTTATGAATACCTAGAGAGCTGCTTTTGCTTTATCTACACAAATGAAACTGAAATGATTTAAATAAAATCTAATCTCAGATAATGCGTCTAACAGCAGTAAAGACGGTATCGAAACAATGTATCCGAGTAAACTCTTCCACGTGTGCTGCTTTGTCTTAACAAACAACCATGTTATGAATATCCCCACTTCCTCCAGCTGATGCTTGAAGGTGTCTGCAGCAGAGGCCCTAAGTCTCAGAGCAAGGAGAAGGATCCCACTCAAAATATTCTATCAATCATGTCTTTTTGCCTCTGTTACCCAGCAGTTTGAAACTGAACCCACACAGATGTGTGCAAAAAGACATATCACCATTGCTGGAAAAAACAGCCCGTCTTGTTCTCTGTGTTCACCTGACCCCTAAGAAGCTGGCGTTAATGCTCCGGGGCAGAACTGAATTCCCAGGAAGGACAATGTGGTTCACCGACCTGCAGGTGAAGGCCATTGGGTCCGAAGCCCCTCTGCGGGAGCGTGGGGCGGGACAGGGCCTGAAGCCCTCTGCGGGAGCGTGGGGTCGGGTCGGGGACGTGCTGCCTACCCGGAGAAGGTGTCCCTGGTCAGGCTCCCGCTGTGGCGAAGGACCGTCTTGCTCAGCTCGAACAGGACGTCGTGCAGGCTCTGCTCCTCGATCCTCTTGGTGGTGAGCTCCAGCAGCTGCGTATTCCTGCGGAAGAGCTTGCAGGCGTAGCACGTGGCCGCGGCCGTCTCCATCTTGTCTCCCGTGAGAACCCAGACCTTGATCCCGGCCTTCTGCAGGGCCTCGATGGTGTCTGCAGCTTTCTCCTGCAGCCTGGAGGACACGAAACCAAACGAAACAGAGAAAACTTACTGCTGACCCAGGAAACCCCAAAAAGGAGCCGCAGAAACTTGCAAAGCTGTCAAAACACGGCAGCCCCTCAACACCAAAACAGACCATGCCGTGGCTCTTGGTCTTACCTTAAAGACAGACCACGAAGCGGCCTTTGAAGGTCTGAATGAGCACTTTACAGGGAAACACTTCATAACATCAGAGAGAGAAATACAGATGAAGCACCTGAGCAGTCAGGGGCTATCCTGTGTCACTGGCAGTTTTCTCTCTAAGTGGGACTCACTACCTGGGGGTGTCAGGAAACTGTCGCCAAGACTGTTACAGTGAACCTCAAGTTTCTCTTCTAAGAATCAGTATGTTGGGCTCTCTTAGTCTTTAATTCTCTATTTTAGACTTTAAATTCCTGTTCTTATCGGTAGTTCACATCTGTTCCCCCTCCCCCGCTCCATCCTGACTCATCCCATCACCTGATCACCCCTGGCTACCTGCTCTGACCCACTCGTAACCATCCTTCCCACCAAAACACCCAGCCTGCCCCTCCAGCTCGGACCCCTGCTCTTTTTAAAACAGTCAATCAGGAGTAGTCTAGCTTGTGCAGTCTAGCCTTAGCCAAGAGGGGATGACGAAGCAGCAGGGACGACCCCCCACCCTGTCACGCATAAGCACCCCCTCCCCCTTGTCCAATTGTGCACCACACCCTCCTAGAGAAGTAAACTGCCTTGCTGGGAGAATTTATCTTTGGGGGCTGTTTCTTTGGGGGCTGTTTCTTTGGCGGCATCAAAATTTTACTGATAGCAAAGACAGAACCACCAACACAAATGTCTCCACCTTGGAAAGATGGGATCTGGAATCATGGTGGTGAGGGATATTCATTGTCTCGTTTTGCATAAACTGTTCAAAGTTTTCACTTAGAACCCACTTGGGGTCTAGGTACCTCTAGATAATATAAAATACTGATAATACTACCAGTGATTTTATGGCTAGCTAACACGCATCATGGGCTTACTTTGTGCCAGGCCTGGGTGACACTTCTTGTGTGTGCTCTTTCGTCCTTACCACGAGGTCACCAGTAAGGGTGTTAGCGTCACATCCATTTTACACATGGAAAATCCAAAGCCTGCAGACACTACAGCAGGTATCGGATGGTGAGCGGTCAGGTCACGTTCCTCTCCTTGGAAGATCTGGTGTCAAAACCATGCTTGCCTCATTTGGGGGCCTGCATTTTCTCTAGGTTTTGGCCTCTACTTTCATGTGAAGTAACTTGCCCCATTTCTATAATGTATGAAAAGAAAGGCTTTAAATTCTAAATGGAATGATCTGGTTAGGCTCTGGGAAGAACTCCTAGCTACAAGTCTCAAGATCAGACAATCATGGTATTCCAGAGATGGAAAAAATGCCTCTAATTTTATGTGTGTGTGTGTGTGTGTGTGTGTGTGTGTGTGTGTGTGTGTGTGCGCGCGCGCGCCTGTGTACATATATAACGTACATGTATGGAGAAACAGAGAGGGAGCATGCATGCCTTGTTATGTTGCCCAGGCTGGAGTACAGTGGTACGATCTCAGCTCACTGCAGCCTCCAACTCCTGGGCTCAAGCAATCCTCCCTCCTCAGCCTCCCAAGTAGCTGGGACAAGAGGCACCTCCTACCACACCTGAACAATTAAAAAAAATGTGAGAGGGGTGATCTCACTATGTTGCCCAGGCTGGCCTCAAAATCCTGGCCTTAGTCAATCCTGCATCAGCCTCCCAAAGGGCTGGGGTTACAGGCGTGCTCCACTGGGCCTGGCCCTAGAATTCTATTCAAAAGGAAGCTGAGGCTCAGAGGCTTCCCACTGGCTGACTAGAGATTTTAATTTGTAAGAAAGCATCATAGCTTCAAAGCCACTGGGCCCCCTCCCCCACCAGGCATTAACTCCCCACTTTTCTGAACTCCCATCCAGTCAAGTCAGCCTGTCCCCGCCCCAGGGTCTCCATACCGTCTGCTCTGCCCAAGGCACCCCAGGCTCCACCACCACAGCCTGTAAAGACTGATCTAGCTGCTCCCCTGGCACAGACCGTCCTACAGACATCCCTCTTCTCCTGGACAGACGTGGGCGAGTGGCTGACCACGAGAGAAGGCCCCCGCTCCCGGTGGCATCAGCAGCAAAGCCTCTCGGCGGCCACGGCCCTGCGTTCTGGAGCCTGTCTGTGTGCCACGGGTGTTCCTTACACGGTGCTCCATGTGCTTACTCTCACAAAGCAAAACACAAAACCACCAAATCAAAACCTCCTGCTCCGCCTAATACTCCATTCAGGTCAAGAACTCCGGGAACGTTGTTAAACACACTCAGAAAATGCAGGTTAGTGATGAAGACTTAAGTTTTAGACTGAAATGGATCTTAAAGACTTTTAAACTTTATGCTTTTAACCTCTTTTAGGAGATAAACTCCCTGCAAACTTCCTGAAGCTTCTGCTTCATTCTCGTAAATGGAGCTCTTTTTTCTTCTCTTCTCCATTCCTACAAACCACTGAAATCCATGCCTTTCACTCAGTGCGAAGACACCGTGTGGCCCAGAAGACTGCCTCTCGGTGGTCTCGGCCTCACACGACGTTCACTCCGACTGTGGGGCTGGGGCGCACTGGCAGCTCTTGCCTTAGAGCTGCCTGAACCCCTGTACTTGGTATTTTACCAGTTATGACGATGATTAGGTTTTGTGATTTTCTACTTCATTATTTTAAGTTTTTTCAGGTAACGATAACTATTACTAACAAGCAGGTAATGATCTAAGAAGTAATATCAGCATTTGGAAAAAACTAGCAACCAAGCTTAGGAACAGAGTCAGCGACGGATTCCATCCTAAAGAGGATTTACAGCCAGGCAGGATGCTCACGCCTGCAATTCCAGCACTTTCAGAGGTTGAGGTGGGAGCACTGCTTGAGGCCAGGAGTTCGAGACCAGCCTGGGCAACACAGTCAGATCCTATCTCTACAAAAAAGAGAAAAAATTAACCAGGCATGGTGGTATGTGCTTGAAGTTCTAGCTACTCAGGAGGCTGAGAAGGGAGGACAGCTTGAGCCCAGGAGTCTGAGGCTGCAGTGAGCTGTGATCGTGCCACTACACTGTGCCTGGGCAACACTGCAAGATGCTATCCCTTAAAAAAAAAAAAAAAAAGAAAGAGACAATTTTTAAAAGCCCTTCTGTCTTGTCTGTTCATAAGATGATAGGAACAAGCTATTTTCATTACTTCCTGGGAAATAGTTTCAGCCGGCTCATTCATCGACAACAAAATACCCCCCAGGCATGAGCTTCCTGGCGGGACTCGAGCAGGCAGCAAGATGCCTCGAGTCTCCCTGAGCAGAAACACGCCCGTCGCTGTGCGGGTGGCCTCCCTGCGTCCCCTCGTCCTCACGCACCCCGGGCCGCCAGCTCACGCCGCCTGTCTCTCAGGACAGGGTGTGTGCGTTTACTTTACCGGTCCTCGACAGCCGTAGCACCAAGCAGAATAAGATCTTTCTCGATCTGCTCATATGCTTCTGCTAACTTTTTCTCTCGATCTTGAAGGGCCACCTTGGCAGCCTGCAGCAGTTGACAGACGCCTTCATATTCTTCTGGGATCAGCCTTTTATAGGCCACGCACAAAGTCCGCAGTCCCTCCTGCAGAAGACGACGCAGTTTACACGAATTCAAGGTGTCACTCGGTGAAATATGACGCTCCACGGCCTTCTCTCTAATTAGAATGACCTACCCAAGAATTACAACCCTTTGAAAATGTATGACACTAAGGAAAGGAAAAAGAAAAGGAGGAAGGGAGGGAAGGAGGGAGGGAGGGAGGGAGGGAGGGAGGGAGGGAGGGAGGGACGGACGGAGGGAGGGAGGAGGGAGGGAGGGAGGGAGGGACGGAGGGAGGGAGGGAGGGAGGGAGGGAGGGAGGAAAGGAGGAAGGGAGGGAGGAACGGAGGGAGGGAGGAGGGAGGGAGGGAGGGAGGGAGGGAAGGAGGGAGGAAGGGAGGGAGGGACGGAGGGAGGAGGGAGGGAGGGAGGGAGGGAGGGAGGGAGGGACGGAGGGAGGGAGGGAGGAGTGGAGGGAGGGAGGGAGGAAGGGAGGGAGGGAGGGAGGGACGGAGGGAGGGAGGGAGGGAGGAAGGGAGGAGGGAGGGAGGGAGGGAGGGAGGAGGGAGGGAGGGAGGGAGGGAGGGACGGAGGGAGGGAGGGAGGGAGGAAGGGAGGAAGGGAGGGAGGAACGGAGGGAGGGAGGGAGGGAGGGAGGGAGGGAGGGAGGGAAGGAAGGAGGGAGGGAGGGAGGGACGGAGGGAGGAGGGAGGGAGGGAGGAGGGAGGGACGGAGGGAGGGAGGGAGGGAGGGAGGGAGGGAGGGAGGGACGGAGGGAGGGAGGGAGGGAGGGAGGGAGGGAGGGACGGAGGGAGGGAGGGAGGGAGGGAGGGAGGAGTGGAGGGAGGGAGGGAGGAAGGGAGGGAGGGAGGGACGGAGGGAGGGAGGGAGGGAGGAAGGGAGGAGGGAGGGAGGGAGGGAGGGAGGGAGGGACGGAGGGAGGGAGGGAGGGAGGGAGGGAGGGAGGGATGGAGGGAGGGAGGGAGGGACGGAGGAGGGAGGGAGGGAGGGAGGAAGGGAGGGAGGGAGGGAGGAAGGGAGGGAGGGAGGGAGGGAGGGAGGGAGGGAGGGAGGGAGGGAGGGAGGGAGGGAGGGAGGGAGGGAGGGAGGGAGGGAGGGAGGGAGGAAGGGAGGGAGGGAGGGAGGGAGGGACAGAGGGAGGGAGGGAGGGACGGAGGGAGGGAGGGAGGGAGGGAGGGAGGGAGGGGCAGAGGGAGGGACGGAGGGAGGGAGGGAGGGAGGAGCGGAGGGAGGGAGGAAGGGAGGGAGGGAGGGACGGAGGGAGGGAGGGAGGGAGGGAGGGAAAAGAAAAGAAAAAAGAAAAGAAAAGAAAAGAAGGAAGGAAGGAAGAAGGAAGGAAGGGACGGAGGGAGGGAGGGAGGGAGGGAGGAGCGAGCGAGCCCAACCAACTCTCGAAAGGACTAAGTTATGAACAAGTGAATTATTTAGGTCCACGTGAAATGGAAAGAAGCATTATGGATCGCAACATTTTCAGACTAGAAAGCCTAGAAACAAATAACAGAAACCAGGACCATCTACCAAAAGGTAAACTTTGTTCCTTTATTTTGACAAATGCAGAGTTAAATTTAACCTTCTTTTAAGGATAATCATATATAATTTCATGGGTAATATCAAGTGATATGTCTAAAGAAACACGTTTTATGTGGGAAGTACGTAAGGTAGGCTGTTCTTTCACAATGAAGGAACACTGCCAGGTTATTTATCAAAATCACTGGTGGCCAATTAAGAATCACAAGTTCCTTACTGTGATCCTGATTCCCGAGGTCACCATACAGAGAGAATGCAGCCGCCACCAGCAAGACACTGGGAAGCGGGGCAGAGGCTGCCGCAGCCACACGGGGCGGGTTACAGAGGAACCTCTTCACCCCATCAGTCAAGGCTGCTGAGCCCGACCGTCACAAAGGTTCAGCTGAGGATCTAGGGTGCTCCCTTCCATTTTTCCTGCCCCTTCAGCCCCAGCCCTACCCGTAATAGTAAAGGAACCATAATTCTCCTAAATTATCATTTCACAATCTGGGAGAATACTGGTTTTTAAGAGTTAAAAAAAAATGCTTTTCATTATATGAGATGAAGTGTCTCCTAGCTCTCAGGGAAGGCTCACGTTTATCACCTCTTAATTCATATGAAGGACCGAATCGCCACTGGGTCAGTGACTCTCCTGGCCCTTGAGCTCGCAAACGCCAGAAGGGAAAAGGGGTGTGGAAGAAGTGAGAGCACGAGACAGGGTCTCTGTGTGCCTGAGTCCTGTTCTCCAGGAACCTTTCGGAAATCCTTCCTCCCCATCCTGCAGATATTGGTTCCTGGTCAAGAACAAGTGAGAAGCCAACGGACCCGTCCCAGAGGGAAGCAGCACTGAACGGACACTGCTCAGCCACCCCAGCCTCGCCTCCTGCTAGCACACAACCTTGCAGCTTTCTGCTGGTAGGTCTGCCTCGATTGTTAGGCGCTGAGTTCTCTGGCTGTGGGTGCAGTGTCTGACTTTATCACTGAATCCCTAGTGCACAGCCAAAACACAGTCACCTTTTGCTGAGTAAGTGGTGAAGTTAGACCTTTTCTGCACCTGTTGATCGAGTTACAGATTGGAGTGACAAATGTGAATTGCAAAATGAATTCTCCGACTTTTCCTAAGAGGCAATAAAATATACAAGGTACATTTCATTGTATGTTTTCTGGCTTCAATCTGAAGCCAGGAAAATTGCATGACAAGAACATGGTTTTAAAGGATAATAGCCCAGAGTGGCCCTAGAACTTAGGTTGCTGTGAATGATAAGCAGAAGCTTTTGGAAATGAATATGTTTCTGTTTTAAAAGTAGATCAAGGACTTTCTCTTGTGGTAACACGGAGTAGAAATACTTTTCTTGCCTGTAATCCCAGCACTTTGGGAGACTGAGGCAGGTGGATCGTGAGGTCAGGAGATCGAGACCATCCTGGCTAACACGGTGAAATCCCATCCCTACTAAAAATACAAAAATTATCTGGGTATTGTGGTGCACACCTATAGTTGCAGGTACCCGAGAGGCTGAGGCAGAACTGTTTGAACCCAGGAGGTGGAGGCTGCAGTGAGCCAAGATCACGCCACTGTACTCCAGCCTGGGCGACAGAGAAAGACTCAGTCTCAAAAAAAAAAAAAAAAGATACACTTTTCTTTATTCCTCTTGCTAAGTACTACAAAAACCCTGGACCCAGCACATAAACCAGGCAAATACACCATAAGAAAACCGCAGAACAGTATCCCTTAGAAAGGCAGATGCAAATATCCTCCACAAAATGCTAGCAAACTGAATCCAATGGCACACAGAAGGGATCACATACCACGACCAGGTGGGGTTTATTCCCAGAATGCAAAAGTGAGCAACACATAACATTAACAGAACGAAGGGGGAAATCCCACATGATCATCACAACTGATGCAGAAAAGGCATTTGAAAGAAATCCATCACCTTTTGGCAATAAAACCACTTACTAAACTGGGGAGAGAAGAAACCTCCTCAACATGATGAAAACCATAACCTAGCTAGGCACGATGGCTCACGCCTGTAATCCCAGAGATTTGGGAGGCAGGTGGATCACCTGAGATCAGGAATTTAAGACCAGCCTGGCCAACATGGTGAAACTCCATCTCTACTAAAAATACAAATATCAGCCAGGCACGGTGGTATGCGACTGTAATCCCAGCTACTCGGGAGGCTGAAGCAAGAGAATTGCTTGAACCCAGGAGGCAGAGGTTGCAGTGAGCGGAGATCATGCCATTGCACTCCAGCCTGGGTGACAAGAGTGAAACTCTGTATTAAAAAAAAAGAAAAGAAAAAAGAAAAGAAAAAACCTACAGCTAACATCACCCTCAATGGTGGAAGACTGAAGACTTCTCCCTAGGATCAGGGCCAAGAAAGGGATGCCTGCTTTTGCCACTTGTATTCAACACAGTATTAGAAGTTCTAGTCAGATGATTGGGCTGTAAAGAGAAAAAGTTTCTACATTAGAAAGGCTGCCTTTCTAAGTCTTCTCTATTTGCAGATGGCATGATCCTACATCTAGAAGACCATGAAGAATGTGCCCCCACTGCCAAACTATCAGAGCTAACTGAATTCAGCAAAGACACAGGGTACAAAGTCCACACACAAGAACTAGTGGCATTTCTAGATACTACCAATGAACAACAGGAAATTTTAAAAATTCCACTTATAATAGCATCAACAAGAGTAAAATACTTAGGAATATATTTAGCCAAGGAGGTGAAGTACTCAAGTCTGAAAAATACCAAGGTTGCCGAAAGAAATAATTTTAAAAAGACCTAAATAAATGGGAAGATATCCTATGTTCACGGATTGGAAGACTTAATATTGTTAAGATGACACTACCCAAAGTGATCTACTGATTAAATGAAATCCCTATCAACATCTCACCGGCTCCTCCCTCCTGCCCTCCCTCCCTTTCTGTTTTCGAGACAGGGTCTCACTCAGGTGCCCGTGGTAGAGTGCACTGGTGCCATCACAGCTCACGGCTGCTTTAAACTTCTGTGCCCAAGCCATCCTTCCATTACCTTCCCTTTTCTTTTTGTATTTTTTGTAGAGACAGGGTCTTGCTATGTTTCCCAGGCTGGTCTCGAACTTCTGGCCTCAAGTGATCCTTCCGCCTCAGTCCCCCAAAGCGCTAGAATTACAAGGATGAGCCACGGTACCTGGCCCGCAATAGCATTTTCTGCAGGAATGAAAAAGCCCATCCTAAAATTCCTACTAAATCTCGCCACTGGGCCGTGTTGTTCAAGAAGTCGTGGAAGGAAGTGTGTCGTGCCGGCTTAAGACCCGGATGGGGAAAGACGCTCGAACAGGTGATGTCACAACAGAAAATGAAAGCGTGATTTGTTTTGAAGCAAATTACTTAAAAAGGTCAAGACAAAGACCTTTTGCTCCAGTCCATCAACCTCAAATGTGCTTATAATTCTGACCCCCCAAAACACCAACCAACCAACCTACCCCCACCCCAAAATAAAACCCTGTGCAAGGCCGTGGAGGAGAGCCTGTGCCTGGCTGGGTACAGGAGGCCCCTGGAGCAGAGGCTGGCAGAGGCACCCATTCTGTCTGCCTCTGGCCCAGTAGATTTCTGAACATTCCCCAGGGGATATAATAGGACATTACCGGCAGGGGATCTGCGCAATGTGGAATTCCTTCCTGACTACTGGGGAGGTGACGGCCGCCAGGCCCTCCCCAGCCCGGCTCTCACCACTGCTGTGCCAGCCCGCTCACAGAATGTGGCAAGACCCTCCCCGCACCGGCTCTCATCCCCGCTGCCAGGTCCTCCCCCCTCCACCCGCTCTCACCACCGCGTTCCGCTCCACTCTGGCTCGTATCTGGTCAACTTTGCCTTCTATCACTCGGGGGAATATCGAAGAATCTGCTCCTTTGCAAAACAGATAAATGTCTCCTACAAAATGAGAAAAACAAGCAGTTTAATCCCAATATGAGGAAGACTAGATCGTTTTTAAAATTATGCTATTAATAAAACACACACAAAAAGGGATAGCAGTGCAGAAAACTTTTTAATGGACTAGTTAACATGTTCCAGTCAGGAAGAAATGAAAACTACAGATTACCTCCATAGCCTCATTTTATTCCCACAACCCTAGAAATCTCGCAGGAAAGTCAGGAACCAGGAAAAGAACGTGGCTCCAGGGCTCTGCTTTTACTCTGGGAAGGACACGGAAGGATAAAACACTCTCGGGATGGCGGGTGGGTGACCCGAGGGGGTCACTGTTTCTGAAACGCTGGAAGGTGAACACAAATCCCTTCAGAAAGGCGTGTGTCCTCACACGGAACGAGGCCGCTGGGCCACCCCTGGCACTCGGAAGAGTCACAGGAAACGCTGTTTGCCTCGTTTTTTTCCCACGTCTCCAGTAAGGTCGCTGCTGCTGTGGATGTGCTGGACCTGTGCTGTGAATGCAGAGTCTTCGGGCCTCAGATAAAGCCAGTTTCTCTTCCAGGTGCCCAGGAACGCAGCAAATGCCATGACAGTTCTGCAGCGATTCCACCTGCCCCCGCCCCTGCCCCAACACACATGCGCGTGCGCACACACACACACACACAGCCCCCAATATACACACAGAGCCCCTCACATGCATGCAGAACCCTCTACACACACACACACACACACACACACACACACACAGCCCCCAATATACACACAGAGCCCCTCACATGCACGCAGAACCCTCTACACACACACACACACACACACACACACACACACACAGCCCCCGACACAGAGTCCCTGACATGCACGCAGAACCCTCTACACACATACACATACAAACACACACACACACACACACACAGAGCCCCTGAAGCACACACACACAGAACCCCCGACACACACACACACACACACACAGAGTCCCCGAAACACACATGCAGAGCCCCCGAGACACACACACACAGAGCCGCTGAAACACACACACACAGAACCCCCAACACACACATGCAGAGTCCCTGACACACTCAGAGCCCCCTCTGCACTGGAAGCGTCCCCTGGCCTGTGGAACCACGTGTCACTCTGGCAGGTGGGCTGTTTGTGCCTGGGCTCGGGGAAAAGCCCTGATACTCCATCACGGTGACTGCGGGGCAGGAGAAGCGCCTTGGCAGCCTGAGCCACAGGATTAGGAAGCTCCATGCCCAGCTCCTGGCGGGAAGAACCCTGAGACTCCAGACACTGACGGCCCTCGGGAAGTCTATCGGGGACCAAATCCAGGGGGCCCCAGGGTGGGCAGGCCGTGGTCCCCGGGGTGGGTGGTGGGAGGGACGTGGGGAGGGAACGCTCCGGTGCTGATGACCCAGATCCAAGGCCTGGAGCTTGGATGAGGACTCGGGAGTACGATCGAGGGCCCACCTTGCCTTCCTTCCCAGATCCCGGGAGCACTAACTCCTGAGACACCAACAGGGGAACAGTGGGAACATGGCTACACCAACACTCATGGGGCCGAGGTGCCTGCTAACCTGCAGCCAGAGAGGATGGCAGCTGGTGACGCGGTGTGGCCAATACACAGAGCAAGCCAGCACCACAAAAAGGCAGGCGGGCATGGGAGAGAGGGGAGGCTGAGGCTGGAGGGCATGGGAGAGGGGAAGCTGAGGCTGGAGGGCATGGGAGAGAGGGGAGGCTGAGGCTGGAGGGGACGGACAGTGAGCAGGTGGGGGATGGTGGGGACAGGAGAGGGAGCAGGCTGACGATGGGAGTTGGACCCCTGCAGAGCCGCACAGGTGTGACCACAGAGTCAGTTGCTCAGCACTGAAAAGCAAGGCCCGGGGGTGAAACCACCCAGCTGATGTCAGAACGCTTTTCCAACTCCCGCGGCTTCCAGCCAGTGCTGTCTTGTCGATGCACTTTAAAGTGAGAACTGCAGTCCAGACGACATAATGATGCATTCTTGAACCACGCATTTTTTACTAGAAAATTCATGTTTCATGGCTCACGACTCATGCTAGCAGCATGTGAATGGCTTAACTTTCCCACTGTCTCAGCCTGTGAATTCTGCTATAAGACACAGGACACCTGCAGCCTGAAGACTTGGTCAGGAACAGCCTTGGAATAAACATACCCAGAGCAGAGAGCATCAGAAGGCCATGTGGGCACCAGCTCTTCCAGTTTCACAACTAAGCACGTGGTTCCTAACGCAGAGCTGTGCGCACACTGGTGCTGTGATGGAACACACAGGGTCCAGTCCCCAAGGTAGGTGGCTGTGTCCCAGGTGCAGCTGTGGTTGGTGGCCTGTCCCCTCCAGGACCAAGAAGGGCTTAGTGCCGTCTGGAGAAGGGAAAGGGCTACAGAACCACAGTTTGAGCTCGTGGCGGGAAGTCTCTCGCTGTGTCTCACACACGACCTCAAGGACACGGAAAGCCAGGCATGACAGCAAATGTGCCCGAAACGGCTAGAAAACAGGGCGTCAAGAAAGCAGCTCCAGCAGGAGCTCCAGGAAGGTGCACAGCTGGGACTCTCCTGTTTTGTCCCTTCTGCTTGCCTTTCGTCTAGATGAATAATGCATTTGTACCCTCTCTTTCTTCCTTCCAAGTCAGCCTTCCGTACACTGCGTACATCTTACCTTGGGTGCAGTGGCCATTGCAGGATGCCCCGAAAAGGAAGACTTCATGTCTCCCTTCAAACGGGAATGCCTGATGCCACCGAGTGGCCTGTGACTTCCCAAGTCCTTTCTGAAAATTCCGTGGCGAAGAATCCCAGGAGAGCACAGGATTGAGATATAAACATCTGAAAGGGGGTCCTGCTGAAGTCATAGGGGGCCCCTCTGGGGCTGCTGGGCCCCACGACGGTGATATAGGGCTCCAGTGGCTGCATGCCCCCACAGGGCTGAACCCAGGAGGAAACGCAAGCGGTAAGCGGTGAGCAGTGAGTGGTGAGCGGTGAGGTGTGAAGTGTGAGGTGTAAGCGGTGAGGTGTGAGTGGTGAGGTGTGAGCTGTGAGTATGAGGTGTGAGCGGTGAGGTGTGAGCTGTGAGTATGAGGTGTGAGCGGTGAGGTGTGAGCTGTGAGGTGTGAGGTGTGAGTGGTGAGGTGTGAGCGGTGAGGTGTGAGCTGTGAGGTGTGAGGTGTGAGCTGTGAGGTGTGAGGTGTGAGTGGTGAGCTGTGAGCTGTGAGCTGTGAGGTGGCCGCAGGGTCTCCCCACCCAGAAGGCAGAACTGCAGTGTAATTAGTGCGCCTTTCCTGGGATGATCACTACTCGGAGAACAACTTGTTAATTAACTATTCAAACATGTCTTAAATGTAGCTCAGGCAGCGCCTGGCTTCAGACGGCAGGACAGTCTCCCGTGCAAGCCGGAAGTTCCTCAAAGAGGCCCTCGGAGGTCCACAGGCTCCCTGTGTGGATGGGGAGATTCTCACGGCGCAAATGCCTCCAACCTTGATTCTTCGTGTGATCTGGCGGCTCTTCAGGCTTTTGATGGTCACGGGAGTTATTTACAAGAGTTCCGCCGTGCAGCCCACAGTGTGAGCCCTGAGGTCCTGGGCGTTCAGGACGCAGCAAAGACCCTTTGTGAGCACATGGCAGGGGCAGCTCCGGGGTGGCTGATGCTCGCCTTCCTGGGCACTGCGGTCAGCCCCGCAGGTCACGGGCAGCACGTTCCAGCCACGGCTCAAAGCTAGATTCAACTTCTCTAGGGAGGACCATGTGACGAGATGGACTAGGAACTTCCCACCCAGGATGTGTTGATCCCAGATAACTCCAAGTGGCTGAGACTCTCAGGACCGGCCTCTTCCCAGCTGGGGAAGGGCCTCCTGCACACAGTGGTCTCACACATCTGAACCTGTTCTCAGACCCCGTCCTGCTGATCCCATGGTCTGGCCATGGGAAGCTCTTCCCGGGAGTCCTGGCAACATGTACAGATTGCTCCTTGTTCCACAACAGTCAGGGACGTCTCACCACAGAGCCTGGACTCATCCGCATTCAGTGGCCTGTCGCAGAGGTGACGCTGTGCCTCGCAGTGGGACTGTGGCTACGGAACCAGTGGGAGGCGGCGGCAGCGCCCCAGGGCAGTCACGGCACCCTCCTGAGGCTGCTGCCCACCCACCCCAGATCCACCATGGCTCACAGGGTGCCACTCACAGAGAGTCACACTGTGTTCCCCCGCAGCTCCTTCCGGGGCTTAGAGAGAAAGAGTCTCCATGGTCCTAATCAGAAGGGCACCCCCGGCACTGATGAAGGCCCTGCTCCGGCTACTCTGTGTTACAATGAAACTCAGCACATCTTGGGGAAACGCTGGCACGAGGCTCTCCAGCCTGGAGTCGGTCTGGTTCCGGGGAGTGGCTGTTTGGTTGTTGCCAGGCATCTTTCCGAAGAGCTGAACACAGCCTGGGGTTGTCTTGTTTCAGGAAACCGTGGAGTGAGCTCCCACAGCTCTTGATGAAGCCCCACTCCCAGGCTGCGTGGAGTGCCCTGAACGGCACAGGATTCAGGAGCACTCGGCAGACGGTGGCGCGACATGAGCGTGGGTTCTGCGTTCAGGATGCGTGCAGGCTGCCCGCGGCCGCAGATGGATGGACAGCCCCGCCACGGTGCGACAACCTTCACGCGGCTGTGCGGCTAAGGCCGGGGCAGGGAGGGACAGATGGGTGAAAGGCCCTTCCTAGGGGGAAGCCCACGGAAGGCAGGCGGAACGAGGCCACGGTGGGGGCTGTGGGTGTGCCCTCAGGGGACACTTGGGGACAGCCTGGCAGCGAAGGTGGGTGACAGCCTCAGAGGGGGCACCGGGAGAAGCTGAGCACCGGTGGGTGGGCGCTCTTAGGAAGCAATGGCCATGCAAAGGGGGGCCCTGCAGATGGAGCCCGTGGGCCCTGCCAGTCCAGGGCAAGTAGCCAGCGGGCCTGCACCTTGGAGCCCGTGGGCCCTGCCAGTCCAGGGCAAGTAGCCAGCGGGCCTGCACCTTGGAGCCTCGGCACGTTGGGAAGGACGCTGAGGGGCTGTGGCGTTCAGCGACTTGCGGCCTGTGCCAGGTGTGGTGTGTGACCTGGTGAGCGTGGGAGGAGACGACGCTGTCCATCTGTGCGTGGGGACACACACTGCCTGGGAAAGCTCTGAGCAGGGAGGTCAGGGGACCACAGATGCGTCCACCCGGCCTGGAGCGGGAACTGTCCGGGAGAGGGACAGCCACAGATCACCGGGGGGACCAGGAGAGTGCCCACTGTGCGCGTCAGCCAGAAAATCCCAGCGGCCACAGGGCTCTGCCCGCCACTGCTCATCCCAGCGCTCCAGAGCACAGGCCGCTCGAGTGTGCGGCTCAGACACACGGTGACTGCAACTGCCAATCAACAGAGCTCACTTTGCAATTTTGAACATTGTTATGGATGTATTTGCAAACCCACATTACCTTTTCCTTGAAAATTGTTATTTAAAAACATATTTATGTCATTTAGCTTGGCAGGGAGCGGGGGGTGGGGTTGCGCAGGGAACACTCATCAATGGAGTTCAGTCATTTTCAACAGTCAAGTGACCCCAGCTCAACACTAGAGGAGACAGGGGAAGGGGCTGGGTGCTGAGCCCACGGCTCCTCCTCAGCATTTCAAAATGTTTCACTTTTTAAAAATAAGAAATTAGGGGTTATCTATACTTTAAAAAAATAAATAAATCATTCTTAAACTCTAAATCCTTAAAGTTCCTGTAGAATTTAGTCATCAGAATAAAACACCATCACCATATATAATTTAATAAATGGAGAGAAAAAGGAATTTTACCTTCAGCAGATTTCACAATGACACTCATTCTCCTTCTTACTGAGTCAAAACTCAAAATTTCCAGCAATTCAAACCTGAAAGAGAAATGCAAAAGGTCACACGGCCCTCGTGGGTCCTCACGCGGTTCTGTCAGGCAACTGTGGAGCTTCCTCGGCAGAATGACAGGGGTAGGCCTGGCCCTTCCTCGGGGGACACACTGAGGGCCGCTGGGCGAGGAGGGGCCTCACACAGACACCCTGAAGAGGCCTGGATTTGAAGGACGTGGCAGGTGCCCCCAGTGGGACAAGTCTGGGCCCCGTGGCACCTGCAGCCCCGGCTCCTCACCACGTCCCCACCCAATCCAGGCCACTCAGATTCAGGTGGCTCCGATTCTGCCACGCAGGCTGCGTTTCCTGTGCACCAACTCCATCCGTAAATGCTGCTGAACAGAGACTCAAAATTGTGTCAGAGCTTGGATCTCTGCCAATGAGCCAGGGTTGCCCTAAGATAAAAACCACATAAAAAGCAAAGGACACAGATGCTCTGGGTGGTGCTGTCTTGTTATCGGAAGACTCCTAAAATCTGTGCAGCGTCTGGGGTATGAGAAGTGCTCCGCACCCCCCACGGCTGCCCCTCAGCTGCCCCTCAGCCTCCTCAGAGCCTCGGACTCAGCGGGAAGCCGTGGTGCCAGCACAGTTTGGAGCCAGGGGTCCCTTGGCAGAGCCCTGACCGGGGCTCTCGTCTCGGCCACGACCTCACCTCCTCCACGGCTGCAATGAGTTGTGGCCCCCAGGTCACCCCGGCCCCCAGCAAGCCCAGGGCACTGTGAGGAGGGCGCGGCCGGTGCCAACGGAGGGCGCAGGAGCCGCCGCAGAATCAAGGGGTTTGTCTTCTCCCTCCACCGGGAGTTAACTTTCCCTAAGAATGGAATTTTAAAATCTGGGCGTCCTGAGGCTGGCACCACAGATCTGCGTCCTTGCTGGAACCGTGACTGCACATTCGTGCTTTCTGATAAAGGAGGCGCCACCACCCACTCTCATGAGTCAGCTCTCAAGATGGGTCACTTGTCTCAGGTATAAGCAATCTGAGACAGAGACCATCCCTAAAAATGGGAAGAGTTTTAAAGACATGTAATCCCAGCACTTTGGGAGGCCGAGGCGGGTGGATCACGAGGTCAAGAGATCGAGACCATCCTGGTCAACATGGTGAAACCCCATCTCTACTAAAAATACAAAAAATTAGCTGGGCATGGTGGTGTGTGCCTGTAATCCCAGCTACTCAGGAGGCTGAGGCAGGAGAATTGTCTGAGCCCAGGAGGCGGAGGTTGTGGTGAGCCGAGATCGCGCCACTGCACTCCAGCCTGGGTAACAAGGGCGAAACTCCGTCTCAAAAAAAAAAAAAAAAAAAAAGACATGAAAAGTGAAACAATCCAACATCAAACGGGCCATGGAAAAGCATAACTGTGCAAACTGTGTTCAACAGGAGGCCGTGCTCCCAGCACGTGAGCCAGGGTTCCTCCCGACGGGACTCATGGCCGTCCTCGGGTGGCAGCCACTCCCTTCCCTTGTGGAGGCAGAGGGGCCGGGAGAGGTCAGAACACACTAGACTGCCCGAAACGTCCTGCGTAACACCTGACTTTAGGTTTAACCCAAAACGCGTTTGCCAGTAAAATTCTCTTCACTCAACTCCACAGCTGACATCTCGAGGGAAAACCACCCAGGGGAAGCGGCCCTGTGGCTGCACCCCAGCCCTTCTCCAGAACATTCTGCGCTGTCACGGAGAACACAGAGAATCTGTCTTTTCCCGGAAATGCCGACCCGTGTGATGACCTTCTCCACTCTCGAGCCCTTCACACCGGAGGGCGGGCGCACGTACCTTTCCACGTCGTTGTCTCTGTTCAGTATCTCCATGTAATTGTCCTTTAGCCTCAGGTACGTAAAGCCAAGTCTGCAACGAGAGGGCCAGGCTCGGGGTGAATCTGAGTCTGATGTTCCTCTCACAGATCATCTGCTTTACATTTGGTAAAGCGTTCTTTTCAAAAGAGAAACACTTTTGTCAAACAGATTATGGGCTGCATTATAAAGTTGGGATACGATCGTCATGAACCTATTCACCATCTCGAAAAATCTTCTAGGAGTAACAGCATTTCTCCCTGACCAGCCCTCCCCAGCACGCCACGGCGAGGCACATTCTTGTTGGTATTAACTGCTCTCCAGAAGAGAGTGGTGGCTGCAATCCTGGCTCACTGATTCGTGGGCTTTGTCTTTGTGGTTGAGCGGGAAACACAAAGTCAGAGGGAGCAGGTCCCTGAGAGGCTGCCACCCCTAGACCAAGCCCCTTGAGTCACCGATGGGGAACCAAGGCCCAGCGCAGGCCTTCAGCCAGCAAGTGGGTGTACTGTGCGTCTGTGCGTCTCCTGCCTGCCCGGGGGTCAGCACCTTCAGGACCTTGTGGGAGCCCCCGGGACAGCAGAGACAAAGAGCATGGCTTTGGGATGTGGCAGCCAGCAGAGACCGGGGAGACAGGCGTGCTTCCCAGCGCCGCTGCGGCCGTAAGGTAAGTGGCACCCGGGGACAGGGGTGGAGGCCTCTGGCCAGCTCAGGTGGCAGCAGCAGCTAGAGGAAAAGCTTTTGTGCAGGGCGGAGCCTCAAAGGCGTGGGAGGGCGCGGGCAGCTGCCCTGAGTTCTGACACCTGGGATGAATGTGGTGGCATTCCCGGGCTCTTATTTTCCCAGAAGAGAGAACCCCAGCTCCAAGAAGCCTCCCCTACACCTCTGTGGGTTCACACACGGAACGAAGCGCCCCAGTGACACTGTTGACGTGTGTGTGCTGCTATTCACACTGCATGAGGAAACAGATTCATGAGCTCAGCTGCGACAAATACGGGGCTGTGCGCTGTGACGGATGAGAAGCGCAGACGTGTTACTCTCCCCACGCTTGGTCCCGGAGGCAGTGATAAAGCGTCCCTTCGTCACTTTTGGGGAGAGGAAATTTAGTGTTACGGAAGCCATGAGCTGGGCAGATTTGAAAAGGGCTTTACTGACTTGAAATCAGACCATGTATCTGGAACATTTAAAGTATTCTTCCAAGTGTTTGCTTAAAGCAGGCATCCCCAAACTGCGGCCCCCTGAGGCCATTTATCCAGCCCCCTGCCGCACTTCAGGAAGGGGCACCTGTTTCACTGGTGGTCAGTGAGAGGAGCACAGTATGGGGCGGCCCTCCAACGGTCTGAGGGACAGTGAACTGGCCCCCTGTGTAAAAAGACTGGGGACGCCTGGCTTAAAGGGTGGGTGGTGAGAGGCCCCGACCTGGTTTGCTCCGCTGCCGCCAGGCTGGCTCTGGGAAGGCCGCTGGCCATCCAGGCTTGTTTTCTGAGATGCAGGAGGGACACTGGTGTTAAAGGAATAAGGACTGTTTCCGTATTTCGGAGCCTGTGGTTATCTGGAATGACCTCTAACTTATTGCAGACCTCAGGAGGAAAAGCCACCCATGAAGGACAGATGAAGAGTCCCACGCCAGGGACCAGACATTGCTTATCATGGTGGACGGGGCTCAGACAGGGATGGGGAGGCAGCAGAGCTCGGCGCGCGGAGGGCACGGGGCGGGGCGGAGGACGCCTCCCGGTGCAAGTCCCTGAGCGGGGCTGCGGCAGGGCTGAGTCACATCAGGAAACCCAGGCAGGCCCTCGGCCGGCGACCCACCTCTGGACACCTTCGACCAGCGCCACCTCGTCGGGCGAGGACGAGATGTACACGCAGGACTTGCCCCCATCCGGCGACTTCCTGGGGCCGTCCATGCTGTCTTCGTCTTTCACCTGGACCGTGTGGCAGAGACAGAGGGCCCGGAAAAACAGCTCCTCGCGCTCCTATGAAAAAGCAGTTCCCAGAACCCCCAAATCATGGTGCATCCACTGAAGATGGAGGGAAACAGGCGCAGACAGAAAACCCAAGGGAACCCGGAGCTGTGAGGGCAGCTTGCGGGAGGTAAGGGCTTTTCAGTGCAGCCGTGAAGGCAGCCATGAAATGGGGGTGTGTAACTCAGCAGTGATACTTTTAGAAACCACGGAGGCATGGCTTCCAGGGCACCCAGACATGACACGCAACCACTAAGCATGCAGGAAGGGAGACTGAGTCACACGGTGCAGCGAACACAGACGTTCACAAACACCCTGGAGCCTGGCTGTGCCTCCACCCGGCACCTGCGCGATGGCGGCTTTCTCCTAACCGAAGCGTGTTAGACCAGACGTGACTACGGAGCACCTGCTCTTAACTCACACTGTGACACCAACCCTAAAACCCCTACGAAGGGGGAGCTATTACCCTGCACCTGCAGCTGCAGCTGCAGAATCGAAGTTCAGGAAGGTAAAGTGAGGCACTCAAGGCCACAGCCGGCTGGGACCGCGTCCCCGAGGCTGCCCCGAGGACGTCTTTCTCCACCCTGCCTGCACACTGCATTCTTCAGGAGCTCCGAGACTCCAGACTCTCATGTGAAACCAAGGTTGGGAAGCACCACGGCAGAGCTCCGGGAAGGGCTCCATCACATGCCGTGTACCCAGCGCAGCGCCCCGATGTGGGGGCGGGAGCCTCGGCACAGGCACAGACGCACCCGCTCCCACTGCCGTGAGCCCTGTGACGAAATGCTGGTTGCTCCTCTGCCACCGGCTGGGGCACCGTGAGAGAGCATCAGCGCCCTCGGTGGGGACAGGTGCAACGGCACAACTCACTGAACATAGCTGCCTGGCTCCCCCACAGCGCTCTGCACCCCACACGGGAAATTCAGGAATGGTGTCGGCCTGGGACTGCAGCCCTGCCCAGAGATGTGGAGATCTGGAGCCACAGCACTCAGGGCGTGAGCATGCGTGCATGTGCACATGGTGTCTGGGTGCATGCATGTGAGCATGTGTGCAGGTGTGTATGTGTGTTTGCCCCGCTTCGGTAGATTTCACAGCAATTCTAACACAGGTATCACTGAGCACCCCAGTATCTAACGGGACACGGCACAGGTCGCACCTTCTGACCTCCCTCCCACGGCAGTACTTGGACTTCCTGGCCCCCGAGTGAAAGGGGGTGCGCTCAGGACGCACAGCCACCCACCCACTCCCTCCCACAGGCGGACGGTGTGGGGGCTGCACCTACCCTCCCGCTGACGCTGGGGGACGAGTCGATCATGTCGATCCCTGAGGCGTCTGGGAGGACCTGCCCGTTGCAGACGACGTGAGGCACGTAGACGTGGCCTTCGATGCAGCACTCCTTGAACTCCATGTTGTTCTCCGTGAGGGTGCCGGTCTTGTCTGTGAAGATGTACTCCACCTGCGGCCAGGGCACAGCAAGTCAGGACGCTTCGAGGGCGACCCGAGCGTTTCCGACACAGACACACAGCAGCCGTGTGTCCTCCCAGCTCCCACTGTGACTTTACGAGGCGGTGGATTTCTACAGCTGTTCCCCCAGACAGATGACTCTCAGGGCTGAGCTATGCTCCCGGCCATCCTCCTTCCCAGCGTCCAACAGGACCCAGCAGTGCTGGCAGGTGCCATTCAGGAGGACGGGTGGGGAGGCCTCGGGGACACCTTCTCTGGGTGGGGAGCAAAACAGAGTATCACGGTCACATTCCCAGGGACGGAGACACGAGTGGAGCCAGGGCTCCGTTTGTTTGGGAAGACAGAGTGTGAGGGGGATCGTCCCGAATCTTATTTAACAACAGCAATGAAAACCCATGCTACGGAGAAGATACAAAGCCCACAATAGCACGTAAGCTTTAGAAGGTAAAACTCAAACAAATAAGAACAAAGCGAATCTCACAGAAAACTGTGATATGTGTAAAGATACAACCCACCTTAAACTCTGATTTTAGATAAGCTCACAGGTTACACATTTATTGCGAATAACTGATATTGGGAATTCTGAACGCGAGGCGGCATCTAGAGCAGACGTCCCCAAACTACGGCCCGCGGGCCACATGCGGCCCCCTGAGGCCATTTATCCGCCCCCCGCCGCCACCGCCGCACTTCAGGAAGGGGCACCTCTTTCGTTGGTGGTCAGTGAGAGGAGCACAGTATGTGGCGGCCCTCCAACGGTCTGAGGGACAGTGAACTGGCCCCCTGTGTACAGAGTCTGGGGACGCCTGGTCTAGAGACTGAGTTCGGGCACACCCACTGGGACAGGTCTTTCCCAGGCATTTTGGATAACAGATATTCTACCTGTGTACTCTTCTAACAAAGGATTTTGATGTAACTGAGAATAAACTCTTTTCAATCCTAAAAGCGTGTTTATTTTTATTTTACTTGTTTATTTTTTTGAGACGGAGTCTCATTCTGTCACCCAGGCTGGAGTGCAGTGGTGTGATCTCAGCTCACTGCAACCTTTGGCTCCTGGGTTCACGTGATCGTCCTGCCTCAGCCACCTGAGTAGCTAGAATTACAGGCCCATGCTACCACACCCAGCTACATTTTGGATTTTTAGTAGACAGGGTTTTGCCATGTTGGCCAGGCTGGTCTTGAACTACTGATCTCAGGTGATCCACCAGCCTAGATCTCCCAAAGTGTTGGGTTTACAGGCGTCAGCCACCACGCCTGTCTCAAAAAGCATTTTTAAAAGGGTAAAATGGATAAGAATGAAACAACAAATGTTAAGAAGTTTGGTTTATCATCCTGTTTAGCTATAGCTAAATAGATGGCATCTTTCTAGGAACCAGGACCATGAAAATGACAATAATAAAAATTAATGGTAACAGACTTTTACTGAGCCCTCAGGGTGTGCCCGCCATGGCGCAGTGGCTCATTTCATCTTCAGCTGGGATTAACGTATCAACTGTGTTCTTATCCCAGTTTAAGAACATGGAAACAAAAGCTTAAAACCTCTGGATACAAATCCAGTCAGTTCTGTGACTTCAGCAAACTGGAGGTAAGATTGTCTGCTCTGTTACTATTAAACAAGTTTGGGAAGTCTTTGATTTCCTTTTCAAATAGTCTGCTGTTTAGAATATAGAATCACTACTGACTTTTGGGTGTTGATTTTGTATCCTGAAAATTTAATGAATTTCTTGATTAGTTCTCAAAGTTTTTTGGTGGTCTTTAGGCCTTTCTATACATAAGCCTGTGTCATCAGCAAACAGTTCACTTCTTCCTTCCCTATATGAACGCCTTGATTGCTTCTTCATGCCTCACTGCTCTGGCTAGAGCTCCCAGCCTATGCTGAATAGAAGGGGCGAGTGCAAGCAGCCTTGTCTTCCTTCTGATCTTAGAGGAAAAGCTTTCAGCAATCCTCCATTGCGTGTGCTGCCGGCTGTGGGTCTGCCAGTTACGGCCTGTATTGTGTTGAGGTACCCTCTCACTTGTTGAGAGACACTATCACGAAAGGATGCTGAAATTCGTCGAATGCCTTTTCCGCATCACAGATAATCATATGGGCCGTCCTTCATTTTGCTGACACCACGCACCACACTTACCGATTTGTGCACGTGGATGCAGCCACCCGGCACCCCACAGGCGGCGTACGATCCTTCTGTGTGCCACTGAATTGGTTTGCTAGTGTTTTGTTGAGGGTTTTCGGCTTTGTTCATCAGGGGTCCTGGCCTGCAATGTTCCTTTCTGGTAGTGAGACAGCCAGCCCTAAGCGCGGTGCTGGTCAATGCTGCGTCACCCTCAGCTCTCGGAACAAAGCATGGCACCCATCGCAGTGCACGCCCGCCCGCTCAACTCGGCCGGAGCAGGGTCTGTGTTCCCAGGCACTCGTGCTCAGGCGGCACTGCCTGCTCCTGACTCTGTTTCTCATCTGAGAAATGGGCAGTGGTACACAGGACACAGAGAAGGTGTGCACAGTGCATGGCCCAGAGTGCCACAGGAGATGGTGGGTTTTTTTGTGGACACAGACACTCAAGTGCTGGGTGAGTCTCCATCTCACATACAAAAGAAGTTATGTACATCATATGGCACAGCGATGGGCGGCACGGGCGTTTGTCCGGGTAGACGGGGGCACAGGCGTTCACCCACGTAGCTGCAGTCAGATGAACCTGCCTCTTGGGCCTGCCCACCTGTCCTCTCCCCGGGGCATCGCCCGGGAGCCACAGTACACACTTCTCCGTGTCCGGGGAGGTCAGCCTCCAGGCGAGAGCCTGTTTTTGGTCAGGACAGAATGGCGGAAATCAAATTCTGTTTTGCTGGACTCCAGGGCGACGGATCGAGGAGGGCAGAGAAGGAATTAGCTGCACTCAATACTGCTGGGCATTTTCCTCGTTACGGAAAAACATCCTTTCCCAACGAATTTATCAGGAGCACACAAAATGCACCATCTATTATTGCAAAGAAGATAGAACACTCTCAGCTAAACATACCTGACTACTGAGCAACGGACTTACAGTCTGCGCGTTGCTGACAGACACAGTAAACCACTGCGAGGGTATGGAATACACCAGAGAAATACTGAAAAGTCGAACTCATGAAAAGCGAAGCACGCGCCTGCCACGCGCTGCCTTCCTCACAGGCGCAGACAGAGGCCTCTGCACCTGCCAGAGTCTAGTCTATCTACAGACTGCTGTCTGCGAGTGACACGCAGACTTCAGCCACCTGTCTAAAGCGGCCTTGTTGGCTAAAACAGTCCTCAAAATCGTTTTCTATTTCTTCCAAAAAGACCGAAGAGTGACCCTTTACCGGTACCTGCTTTGCCAACCCTGCGCTCTGCGACAGTAAGGCTGGGAAAGCAGGGAAGGTCCCCGCTTTAGGCTGGGGAGCCACGGGAATGCGTCTTTCCTTAGTTCCCTTCCCAAGCCAGCAGGTCTGGTGTGTGGCTCCCGGGGGCGTTGTGGCAGGGAGGCGGTGGTGGCACAGACTCTGGGCTGGGCACCTTGTGTCCAGGATCTCACTGACTCCACACCACAGTCCTGTGGGGCCAGCACCTGCCATCCCACTTCAGACTGAGAAACCCGAGGTGTGGCGGTGCAGCCCGAGTGCCCGCAGCCGTCACGCAGCAGTGGATTTGAATGGAGGCACTTGAACCCTCTGCAATCCACCGAGTCACCGAAACTCTCTGAAGTATCAGTTTGCTCATCTTTAAAGTGAAAAAATACCTGGCTTGCTATGAGACCTCAATATCAGGTGCAGAAGGAGAGTGCAAGGCTGGTAAAGCCATTTCTACCCACCAGCCTTGATTCACACCTTTGCCCAGAAGGTGCCCTGCCCAGAAAGCTCGGGTGAGTTTCCAGGCACCAGCGAGCGCAGGTAATTCCACATGCGTCGTAAATGTAACAGCATGGCTGACTGTTTCATAAACCAGGCTCAAAAACACCCTGCTGCTGTCTTCCACCAGCCACAGGGAAGCCACGCTCGGAAGAATAGGCACCGGACCTGAGGAACGTGAAACAGACTCACCCACATGTTAGCAAATCCCAGCAGATGGCTCAGGAGACACCAACCTGTCCCAGCTCTTCGTTGAGGTCTGACGTGTTCACCAGAGGCCCCTCGCCAGTCTCCTCATCAAACATGTCTTCGTCCCAGGTGATGAAGTAAGAGCCAAGGAATTTCTGCATCTCGACCGTGACGTACATGGACACGGGGATGATGTAGTTGAAGAGGACCATGAAGGCCAGGAAGTCTGTGAAGGCCTTGAGAAACTGCGAGAGCAGAGGTGTGCGTCAGCGCCTCCGCGGGAGGACAGAGGGCCCAGGTCAGCGCCTCCGCGGGGAAGGACAGAGGGCCCAGGTCAGCGCCTCCGCGGGAGGACAGAGGGCCCAGGTCAGCGCCTCCGCGGGGAAGGACAGAGGACCCAGGTCAGCGCCTCCGCGGGAGGACAGAGGCCCCAGCACGCTGCCCTGACACCTCAGGCTTAGTCGTAAGTTACACACGTGCTACTGCTAAGTATGTGGTTTCAGAGTCCAAAGATGAGGATTATGGGCTGGTGGGGGTGCTGCCACAGGGTCACCTGGTGTCTGCGCCAGGACCTGCGGGGCCAGGGGATGAGCTGCAGGGCTGCCCTGCTGTGGGGGTGGAGATTAAATCATGAGTTAAGCACACGTGTGACAGGAGGCACGGAGACCAGACGCCAGTGGCAATTTTACTTCTGCATCCGTGGGACCTCTTTGTGACTCTTATAACCAAACTTACTTGGTAACAACCTACAGACGTGAAAACTAAGCCTGATGAAATGACTTTTCAGTATACTTTTATCCTGGTCTGTGAAGCCAAGTTAGTTTTGTAGGAATGAAGGATCATGTGCAGAGATGGCCCTGATCCAGATGGAGGGGACGTGGGACTGGGTTTGCACATGACCCCGCTCTGGACAGAGGGGTCACAGGTCAGGGTTTGCACACGGCCCTGCCCTAGGCTCAGTGGACACAGGTCTGGCTTTGCACACAGCCCTGTACTAGGCTCAGTGGACACAGGTCTGGATTTGCACATGGCTCTGCTCTAGGCTCAGTGGACAGAGGTCTGGGTTTGCACATGGCCCTGCTCTAGGCTCAGTGGACACAGGTCTGGGTTTGCACACGGCCCTCTCTGGACTAAAAGCAGAACCTTTTTCCAAGTATTTACCACGAATACGTGCCATTTATCTCACAGTCATTAACAAGCATCGACGTGGCACCCTCTAAACAAAGGAACGCCGCAAGCATTTGAGGCACTGTGCTGATGACTCGACTGTGGGAAGCTGCACCTCTCCAGTCTCAAAAGACGGCAGGACCAGCGGGGCCCACTGACACTTCACGTTTCGTGAGTGCATCTACTGTGGAGACTGGAGGCATCCAGGATGCTTCTGGCCTACAGTAGATTCACTTCCGTCTTTTCCATGCCCCGCCCTTTTGTGATGATGGCCCACCGGTCATCTCTGGTCATACCGGGCAGTCGCTCCCCTACCAGATTCCTCTGTCTTTCCGAGTCCGTTTTCTGATTATACCACGGCTCATCCCGGAAGGGCTCGCTCTGCCACACGTACTTCAGGACCGTGTTTATCAGGGCTTTGCTGATCAGGATGCAGAGGTACACAATGAGGAACACATTCATGGATCTGAAACAGAAGGACAGAGGTGATCGCCGCGCCCTGTGGAACTGAGCTCTGCCCTTCCTTCTCACAAACGTCAAGATGAAACCCTGCGAAGACGCAGAATAGGAGCGGCACGGTGATGTGTTTGCCCTCGACGTGCCACAGCGGGCCCCCTGTGCTTGCGTCCATGCCACGTCCCCTGGCATGTACTTCTAGAGGCCAAAGGAAAGAGTCAAGCAGGGGGAACGTGCCACAAGCAGGAGAGAACCGCTCGCAGCCGCACCGCAATGCTTCTGCGTTGTCCGTGGTTTCCGTGCCTGTGAAAGCAGCCACACCTGCTTCCGTCATTGAAAAGAACGCCCAGGCCGGGCGCGGTGGCTCACGCCTGTAATCCCGGTACTTTGGGAGGTCGAGGCGGGTGGATCATGGGGTCAAGAGATCAAGACCATCCTGGCCAACATGGTGAAACCCTGTCTCTACTAAAAAAATACAAAAATTAGCTGCCAGTGGTGGCATGTGCCTGGAGTCCCAGCTGAGGCAGGAGAATCACTTGAACCTGGGAGGCGGAGGTTGCAGTGAGCCGAGACTGCGCTACTGCACTCCAGCCTGACGACAGAGCAAGACTCTATCTCCAAAAAAAAAAAAAAAAAAAAAAGGAACATCCAGAGATCAACTTCTACCACTGAGCATCAAAAAATTAGTTCAGAACATGGTGACTAGCCCCCACTGTAAAGGAAGGAGGGAGGGAAAGGAGGAGGAAGAGAGGGAGGGAGGGAAGGACAGGGGACGAGCAAATACTCTGGAAGGAAGCGTCCTCACGACAGGAAAGCACGGGTCCTTCACTGAGGTCTCGGCCGAGTTCGGGAAGAAGCCTGATTTTCCAGCACAAATTCAGCGACCATTCTGACACGTTTATCATCAGGACTTCGCTGTTTAACGCAAAGATGACTCTGTTCCCTCTGCTAACACTTTCCCTCATAACGCCACAGCCGGGAATGCGTGGCTTCCACCAAAGCCCAGAGTGAAAAGCGAGCCCATCTGGAGCTCTTCATGAAATGGCAGGAGGAGCTGTGGAACACTGGTTTCGGAACCAGCATCTCAGGGCGTCCATAAGGGGCAACAGCGCTGCCTCTTACCAGGCGCTGGGGAGTGCGGGAAGGAGGGGTGCAGCCATCCACTTCCCCACAGAGTAAGAGTCCATCTGAATAGCTCTGCGGTTACTAAGATGCTGCCTATTGGCGAAGGAACCGCCAATAAGGCCAAGAAGCAGCTATTTCCACGTCTACAGTGGGTATTGCCACGTCTACAGTGGGTATTGACATGTGTACAGTGGGTATTGCCACGTCTACAGTGGGTATTGACACATCTACAGTGGGTATTTCCACGTGTACAGTGGGTATTGACACGTGTACAGTGGGTATTGACACGTGTACAGTGGGTATTTCCACGTCTACAGTGGGCATTGACACGTGTACAGTGGGTATTTCCACGTCTACAGTGGGTATTGACACGTCTGCAGTGGGAATTGACACATCTGAGTCGCAGCTTCTCACGCTCGCCCGCGACGGGGCAGGGAGCCTTACTTTTCCACGGCAGACCGCTTCTGCGATTTCGACTGATAATTCAGTGCCATCTTGGTTTCCATGCCCGTGTAGATAGCCACACCTGCAGAGAGGAGGGGAAGGTGAGGACCGTGCTGCATGCCCGTCTTGCCTTGTGGCGAGTCACACACAGCTGCAGGGAAAATCAATTCTTGGGTAAAATGAATCCTATTTTTGATTTCACGAACTAGTGTCCATAGTCACACAACATTAGCACTTGATTCCCTAGGATCAGAACCTTTCTTCGTACACAGGAGGCAATCTGTGCTTCATTTTTTAAGAGTTCATATCTTAATATACATTGGGCTGTCCATGTCCATGAGTTCAGAGTCTGCAGGTTCTACCCACTGGGGATGGAAAATATTTTTTTAAATCCCCCCGAAAAATAACAATACAATGATTAAAAATACAGATGATAAACACAGCCGAGTGTGACTATGTGCCTAGCATTTGCGCTGTGCTAGGTACCGGAAGTCCTCTAAGGCGATGTAAGCCAGAGGGGCAGACGTGCCCAGACCACATGCAAAAAGGGGCCTTGGGCACCCGTGGATTTTGGCATCTGCAGGCGTCCTGGAGCCGGCCCCCCAATGACACCAGGGACACCTGTTCAGCATGTTCTGACAGCGGGGCACGTGGGTATATTTCTAACAGTTACCTCAACTAAAATAGACAACAGCCCACAAGAGATGGGAGATCCTAGCCAAGAAACACAGGCATGAAAGAAACGTCGAGCACAATTCAACTTCATGAATTCCTTCACGGATGCAACTCCGTTTCTGAATCCAAAACTAGAGGCCTCAACATGCAAGCCGTGTTCTCCGGCGCCCCTGCTTCAGGACCGCGCTTACCCACGGACACTAATCTCGGTGCCGTGGAACTGCGTGGACAGAAAGCCTCCGGCACCTCCAGGCACCAAGAAACGCTCTCAGGGTTCCGCTGCGTGTTTTACGAGCATTAGAGGCAATGGGTAATAACTCACGAATTAAATACTTACCGAAGATTTTCTCCGTGTTCTTCAGTGTGGCTCCTCTAAGCAGCAAGTTTTCTGATCCTAAGGGCCTGTAAGGACACGGATGATCAGAAATGATACGGACGTGAGGGCGAATGGGCAGGCAGTGCGGGGAGAGGCAGACACAAAGCCCGCTGGTTTGCCCCACAGATGTCATTTTCAGAGGAGATGGTGTACACGGCGGCTGGCTTATGTGCAGACGATGACGCCAGCCCAGGTCCACGCAGAAGGATGTGGTCCTATCTGAGGCGAGGAGTAGGGGCAAGGACCTCACGTCAGTGCCTGCAGGTACGTGGGACCTCAGGCCTCACCCAGACCCACTGAGCTGCGCCCGACAGCCTCAGCAATACTCCGAGAGACCTGCCGGGCAGGGGTCCCTGCAGTGGCCCCACCAGCGCCGTCAGCAGCACCTGGAGCCCGTCAGGAACATCACACTAGTCAAGAAGGTCATCCCAGACCCACAGAGGCAGAACCTGAAACCCTGAGGTGGGGCCCAGCAACCCTCTCCTAACGAGCCTCAGGTTGAGGACGGCTGCACTGGAAGATCCCAGAATGTTCTGGAAAGGCTAAAAAGCGGTGCATGTGACTCACTCAACTTTCAGCTGTCTCTGTTTTTTTTTGAGAGACAAAGTCTCACTCTGTCACCCAGGCTAGGGGCACGATCATAGCTCATTGTAGCCTTGATCGCCTGGGCTCAGGTGATCCTCATGCTTTGGTCTCCCAAAGAGCTGAGATTACAGTCGGGCACCACCACGCCCAGCCTCAGTTGTTTCTCTGACATCCTCAGTGAGACTCGGGGAGTCTCATGTAACAGTCTTTGTCTGTCCTGGAGACAAAGGCTGATACTCTGTATGGCCTTTAGAAACACTGGAAGCCACACTGCAGAGCTCCTCTGAATGGGAGACCTGTCCACCCGGGGCAGTCCACGCACGGCTACTTTGGGGAAAAGCAAGCAATGGCCAAAGAACTCAAAGACCTCATGCATCGAGGAACAAGCCTGGCTCTGCGCACTGAACCCACTGTGAGCAGCGGGTGCGGTCCCTGCTATCAGGGGCTTATATGCTTGATATAACAGGGCTCCCTGCTGTTGGAAAAATCATCTCTTCTCCTAGTAGTAAGGGAGAAATAAGCAGCAAGATTCCAATTTATCAATTTTGCTACTGATATCATCCTAAGGATTTCTTCGGAGGGGAAAGGGTCAAAAGTGTTTGCTGAAGTTTGCTTTTCATGCCTCATTGTATTTACTGGCCTTCTATCACAGAAAGGGAAGACCCTACTATTACGAATGTAAAATGCATGCACTATATCTAGTCGACATAACTCGGAGCTGCGTCTGGCTGAAGGCAGGCAGAGTGGGGCTGCCCTGAGGGAGACAGCAGCCCTGGCCACGGCGGGCGGAGCGCCCACCCCCGGCTGCGGCTGAGACTGCCACGCGCCTCCTGACCCAGCAGTCACTCAGGACGGAGCTCTGGGCTGCATATGAGTTGTCTGCTTGTGATACGCACTGTCAGCTTCTGTTTGCAACACACTTACAATAATTCCTGTCAAGTGTCTACAAAAACAAACAGCTTTTTTTAAAAGGTGACTCAGGGAAGCCTAAAAATAATTTACTTGGAAAAGTACTTTGCTTCTAGTTAGGACATAAGGAAGAAGAAACATTGCTCTGAATGGATTGAGAATTTAGGTGCATAATTAACTCTTAACTGTCCACATCACAAATTTATAAACCTCCTAAATAACCTAAATATTAAAAGTCTATTGAACAGCATGAATATTTAAGAGTGAAACTAGGCCAGGCGTGGTGGCTCACCTGAGGTCAGGAGTTCAAGACCAGCCTGGCCAACATGGTAAAACCCCATCTCTACTAAAAATATAAAAATTAGCCAGGTATGGTGGCACGTGCTTGTAATCCCAGGTACTCAGAAGGCTGACGCAGGAGAACTGCTTGAGTCTGGGAGGCAGAGGCTGCAGTGAGCTGAGATTGCACCACTGCCCTTCAGCTTGGGTGACAGAGCGAGACTCTGTCTCCATTAAAATAAAATAAAAAAGTAAAACTAGAGTTAATATCAAAATGCAAAATATATTAGCAATTATCATCCCAGGTTGCTGAGCAATAAACTCGGTCTAACTATAAAGATGAAAAGCCTGCAATGTTTAATACTGAGGATTCAACCCATAGGTAATATGAATAAACCTAAGTCTGCTTACTCATTTAAATACAAAATAATTCTCAGAGCACACAGAAATACAAGTGATTTCTCCAAAGTAAGGAGGAATTTACCTTTAGAAAAGTACATATTTAGGAAAACCTAGGCAAGGCCACTATCAATGCTCAGAAGCACCTGCTGGCCTGCTGATGGGTAATGGTGACACGCACACACTAAGAAGCGCACAAGGGGTTGCCATGAGACAGCAACTCCAGGAGACCACAAGGAGACACGCCCCAGGGACCGGCATTCAGGAACCACGCATTTTGCCGCAGTCTCTGGGCGAGTGTTTCTGTGTCTGGGAGGTGTGTTCTTTAACACATGATTCCATACACACCCAGACATCAACAACTTGGAGTGCTTACAACGGAAGAAAAATCATATCCCTAGCAAGTGGAGTTTATGAAAAAGATGCAGCTTTAAAACCTACTGAAAGCCAATTCCCTCAACTGTGACTTTCAGATATCTTGTCAGCAACAAATGCTAGATCTTGAAATAACGTCAGAGAGAATATCCGTAGGCCCGGGAGGCGGGCACTGCTGGGGGTGGGCTGGGCACCGGCTGGCTCTCAGTCGCGGCTGCCCTGGGGCCACAGGGCAGGTGCCTGAGGCGCGGGCTTCCTCACGGATTCGCGGTGTGACTGCCCTGAGTCTGTGCTGGTGAGCGGGAGGCACAGCAGTTGCCTGTAAGCTGCCCCAACCTTGCCCCGGGTCACTGTGTCCACCTTCTTGGGTGGACGTGAGCCAGAGAGAGACCTTGAGCCCATAATGCACCCCAGTAACGATGGCTACTGGATGAAATATACTCCGAAAAACGGCCCCCAAGAAGTCTTCAGCTTCATATCTGAAGACAAATCAGTCCAGGAACCGTGAGAGGACATTTCTCACGGGGACGCTGCACTCTGCCCCTCACTTCAAAACTGTTCATGGAACCCTGACGCCTCCCGGCTTGTGAGACAACCCTCCTGGCGGAGTCTTGTGCAAAACTTTGTTTCACGAGCATCAGTAACTTGTCAACATTCACAGACGTTGTGCGTGAGACACGCCAGGGAAGAGAGCGGAGCCTGGCCCTTTGGGAAAGTGGAACTCCACCTTCCAAATCTACCAGAGCGGCGGCCGTGGAAACGCTCGTCTGTCCAAGAACGCGTTTCTACCGCGACCAGGGAGATGACCACGGTCCATGCGTCCACAGAGACACTCACCTCACCACAGGGTCATTCAGGTCACTGTAAACGTTGATGCGACCCACGAACCTGGCGACAGAAAAGCCATGTTAGTGACGGGGGCACCCAGCGGCCCCACCCCGACGCGCACGCCTGGCCTGCCTGCCTTCCTGTGTCCACGGAGGAGGGTGCGGGTCACCGTGGGGTGCAGGGCTTCACCCAGCCTGTTCTGCGTGTCGCTGAGCCACCCAGCCCGCTCCCCGTGTGGCCAAGCAGGCTCCTTCAGCCCCTTCCTTGTCGTACTTTCTGTTCTGATCAGCCCACGGCTTCGGTCATTTTCCTTAACCCACAGTTTAGGAATGTCTTCCACAAAATAAAGGAAACATAGTTTCCCCCCACAAATCTACTTCCCTCAGCCACTTCAAATATTTGCATAAGTAAACAGCTGCAGATCTGAGTGGTACAAGTCTATGCAAACAAGTGAGTGACGTCGTTTCGACTCGGTCCTAATCTTTAAGCAGTGATCTACATTCTCTTTCCAAACCAGCAGATGGCCGGAGTATCTGGGGTGAAAAAGCGGGAACAAGGCTGAGGGCGTAACCCGTTTCTAGAGACCCCGCAGGCCCCACTCACTTGTAGAGGTCAGGCTGCGGCTGCTCGCACTCGATGGTGGCGTGAAGGCCGTCGATATCCTCCTCCGTGTGGAAGCCTTTTGTGTCCTGCACGGCGTAATGCGTCTGCAAATCACAAGACAGGTGAGCTCACAGCCAGAGCGGTCGACACAAACCCAGAGACCGGTGCCTCCAACCGAGTGGCTACAGAGCCCGGCTGACCATAGAGTCTGTCAATGTTTAAAGTTACGGAAAGATAAGGTCCCACTGTTATTCCTGCATCTATGACGTGCCAGAAGATTCTAATTCTTCCATTCTTACCCAGTGTCCTCAACCTAAACAGGACAGACAATGATGTTCCAATTCCTCAAATGTGGACACTCTGATTTATCTGTCACAGCAGCTATTCATCAGGAAACAGGCTGAGGACCTGAAATACCCCTTTGCTTTGACAGCATGCCCTGTTGTTCACGGGGAGTCGGCACGGGCATGGTGTCACTTCATTCATTTCCACTATGTAGAAACACCTGCCTGCGCCCATCCCTGTTGGGTGGCACACGCCTTCTACTTAACTGTTCACGTGGCCTGGCCGGAGGGCTCCTCCAGCCTTCGTGTGTGCCAGCTTTACCCAGAGCTCCTCAAGCCCTGATTCCTGGGCTCAGCCCCAGGGTTTCTGATGCAGCGAGTCTAGGGAAGGCCAGAGAACTGCCCTTCTAACATGGTGCCCGCTGGTGCTGCTGGTCTCAGAGCACATCTTGAGGCCTGCGGACCTCAGTAGCATCTGTGAGCACCAGCAGGTGGGCATGAGGGCTGCACTGGCCCTGCCTTAAGAGGAGAGAGAAGAAATGTGTGCCCAAGGATCTGGGGAGAGGCAACAGCATCTCTGAATCCCTTCCTGTGCTTCCTTCTAAGGGACGAGCATTGGACAAATAACACACAGGAGTCAGAACGAAAGGGAGAAACGATCACTGCACCATCACCAGGCGCACAGATCAGGGGGAGCCCACCGCAGCCCCGTCACCAGGCGCACAGATCAGGGGGAGCCCACCGCAGCCCCGTCACCAGGCGCACAGATCAGGGGGAGCCCACCGCAGCCCCGTCACCAGGCGCACAGATCAGGGGGAGCCCACCGAAGCCCCGTCACCAGGCGCACAGATCAGGGGGAGCCCACCGCAGCCCCGTCACCAGGCGCACAGATCCGGGAGCCCACCGCAGCCCTGTCACCAGGCGCACAGAAGGGGCTGGGGGTAGGATCACTGCTCAGTCACCAAACAAACAAAAGGGGGTGGGGGAGGGAAGTGACCGCTGCTCTGTCACCAAGCGCACAGATCAGGGGCACTTATTTCCTAAATTCAGTGGGCGTTTTCTAATCGTACCCTCACAGGAGCCCCTGAGAGACACGGCTGTCCTGTTTCACAGATGGAGTCCAGAGCAGCTCACGAGCCTGCCAGTCACATGAGCCCGCCCTGGGATTCCAACAGAGGCTGGCTGGACCCTTCCCACGCCCCACTCTGCTTTTAGGGAAAGGGCTCAAATCATTCCAGTCCCCCAACGCTGAACAAAATGCACAAAAATGACATTAGAGAACACAAAACTGTAACGCGAACTGCTAAGCAGCAAACGGTCAACGTGCAAGAGCTATTTTATCATCTTCCACAACGACCACGACATTTCTTCTGGACAAACACGGCACATCTGGAGACCCACAGCATCTGCTCACTAGCGTGGCTGGGACTTGTCAGAGCCTGACCAGCCACAGTCCTGCAGGGCAGGGGTACAAAGGCAGCCGCTGCCTGCAGAGAGCGTGGAGGGCTCGCAAGGTCCCTGGGTGGACGGAACGTTAACGCCCTCCCAGGTTCCAGGGGGACCAGCAGCCACCTACAACAAATTCCTGACTTGCCCAGGGGCTCTGACTCCCCAGAAACACTGCTGCTGACAATCTGTTGGGTTAGGTGCCCACTCTCCTGGGATACGCTACACGGAAAATGTGAAAGCAAATTGAACCGAAAATATCCACAGGTTTTTCATTTATCAATTCATGATACATATCTGAATTATCTATGAAAGACTAGCATACCCTTCAGTGATTTTGTAAAGAAAATGTCTCTATCTCACAGTAGAAATGGCCTATGTCCATAGGTATTACCTAAATACCATTTTAGAGTTGCACTTTTGTGAGCTGATGACTTAGGAATAGTTGAATCCACTGAGCTCATAAACTCCTTAGAAACTTCCAGATTTTTAAAATAAGAATCTTAAAATTCATGGTAGCATATCTTTTATGATTGACAATTAAAATTCTTGTAGCATCAACTGCCTGTGCAGAATTTTATATTGAGTGCAGGAAATTACTTACATAGTAATTTCAGAAAATCCTGATTAAGATAAATCAACAAAAAGATACTCGAAGTAACAGGCAAAATCTAGAATTCTGTGTGACTTTTCACATAATTCTAGGCCAGTTTTCACATTAATTTTAACTAGTAAAATAAAAATTCCTTAAATTCCAACAATCTATTCATTAATCTTTAATTTGGTGCATTAGCTGACTGACACAGGCGAACACTGAAGTTATTTCTGTTACCCTGAGATGACTGGTTGTTTTAAACATTGAGAATAGAAAGCAAAAAGTGGGAAGGAAACAGGGAGGTGTAGGTCAAAGAACACAGAGCAGCAACATTCAGGATGACCTGTCCAAAGACCCAGCTCACAACAGGAGGGCTGGAGTGGGCAAGGGTGCTGGGCTCGGGGATTCTGCTGCATTGAGCAGGTTCTGGCTGCTCCGGCACGGGCGCCAGGGGAGGGAACGGGAAGTCAGGTGAGACGCGGACACGCTCATCTGGTCCACTCTCACCACAACCTCACTATAAACACGTGATGTCACGTGTCTCATGACATCATCATATATGCCTTCAACATATACAATTTCATTTTTTTAAAAAAGGAAAAAGAGCAAAGTGAAGAAAAGGAGGAAGCAAAAGTGAGGAAAAAGCTTGGCTGCACAAGTCCTTGGGCTCTCACTGCAAACACCGAAAGTGCTGACTTTCTAAACAGGATGTTGGTTCCCATGGCCACACGGGCACAGCCTGAAGCTGGACAGGAATACCCCACCTAAGGAGAAGGCCCCTTACCTTATGGCTGGATTCTCCATCTAAGCTGGTGGAGCCCACCCTGGAATCTAAGGAAAAGGCCCCTTACCTTATGGCTGGATTCTCCGTCTAAGCTGGTGGAGCCCACCCTGGAATCTAAGGAGAAGGCCCCTTACCTTATGGCTGGATTCTCCGTCCAAGCTGGCGGTTGTGACATGGCACGTCCCATCTCCCCGGTTGCTGGAAAGGAAGATCAAGTCGCAGGGAAAGGTCTCGTCCTCCTTGACCATGACAATGTCCCCAACCTACAGCACAAGCAGAAAGGATGGTCAGCAGAAAGCCCCTCCGTGAAAGCTCACCGCCGTGGGGGGCCACTTCTTTCAAGGTGCTCATTTCTTTACAGGAAGATACAGGGATGCAGAGATGACTCTAGGAAAAGACACCTGCCAGACATTCTGCTGGGGCCAAAGAAAGACCAGGTCAGGTTTCTATACTCCAGGTGCAGCTCAGAGACGTGCCAAAGCACAGCATGATCGAATATTCCGGAGCAAAAACAGAGACAAACACCTGCAACAAGGTTATCTTTGACTCAGACCAAGCAAGGCGAGGCAGAGTGCCTGTCAGCGTGGCCAAGCGGGACGTACTCCCGTGAGAAGCTCTGATCTCAATCCGGCGTTTTACGAACCGGGTGGTAGAGTTCTGAGAGCTTCCTGATCAACAGAACCAAGGCGCTGCCCAGCTCATCAGAGCATGAGGACAAATCAGCCAAAGTGCCAACAACGTCTCAAAAGCCAAAGTAAAACTCAGTCGCAGGAAGCTCATCGTGTGGGTTTTTCGTAACGGTAACGGTCTGGTTTGTATCTGTGCCCATCTCATTTCACTGGTGAAGATGGCATCGCAGTGAGCTGCACTGTGTGTCTGAAAGGTGAAGGATCATCAGACCCCTTGAGGGAGTCGGTGTGGGTCCCCCGGCCAGTCTCACCGCCACTTGGGCAGCGTGCCAGGGTCGGGGCTTGCTGTGCCTCTGTCTACACTACAAGCAGAGTTCTCTGTCCCATTACATGACGGTCACAGCAGACTGTGAATTTCTGAGACTTTAAAATCAGAGGGTTACTCCCCCCAAATGTACCTATGAGTTTACTAAAATCCCTACGGAAATCCCAGCAAGGATTTTTATAGACACAAATGAGCGGACACTAAAATTCATATGGGAAGGCACAGGCTCTAGAATAGCTAAAACCACCCTGAAAAAGAAGATTGAGTGGAAGGACTCGGTCTCCCCAATGACAGGGCTTCTGAGGTAGCTACAGTGACCAACAGTGTGGGATTGGCGGGGCATGGGTGTGGACACCAATGGGACAGACCAGGGAGCCAGAAATGGACCCTCGCAAATGGGCTTCACTGGTTGTGACAGAGAGTGAGGGCTGCTCCCTGGAGGAGGGAGAGCCGCCAAGCCCTGGTGCAGGGCCGTCGGACAGCCACAGGCCAAACAGCAAGTACAGAAACACCACACCTTATACAGAAACCATCTCACAGTGGATCAGGAAGTTAAACGTAAAACGTGAAACTATAACACTTTCGGAAAGAAACGTGGGAGAAAGTCTCTGGGTCTCAGGACTAGGCCAAGAACGCTTCATTCAGGACACTGAACGTACAGTCCTCAAAAGAAAAAAAAAAATCAGCCGGGCGCGGTGGCTCACGTCTGTAATCCCGGCACTCTGGGAGGCCAAGGCATGTGGATCACTTGAGGCCAGGAGTTCAAGACCAGCCTGGGCAACACAGTGAAACCGTGTTCCTGCTAAAACTACAAGCATTAGACAGGCGTGGTGGTGCACGCCTGCAGTCCCAGCTACTCGGGAGGCTGAGGCAGGAGAACTGCTTGAACCTGGGAGGTGGAGGTTGCAGTGAGCCGAGATTGTGCCCCTGCACTTCCAGCCTGGTGACGAGGGCAAGGCTGTCTCAAAAGAAATAATCATTTTTAAAAAATTAAATAAATAAATAAAATGGACTTCAACAGAATTTAAAACATTTGCTTTGTGAAATATCTTGCTGAGTATTAAAAATCTGTATCTGACAAAGTAGTAATATCTAGACTACATGACCTCGTAAAATTGAACACTGGGCTGGTCTGATGGTGCTGGGTTATCGGAACTTATTAACATTAGTGTCACTAAAGTTGGTATACAATCCCCCACTGCTAAATTTGACTGGCTTTTAAAAATAAATAGATAAATAAATAAATTTAACAGTGAAAAGAAGCTCAAATAATCCAGCCGGAAAAATGGACAGCAGACATGAAGAATCATTTTTACTGAGAGGATGCACAGATGCCCAGCGAGCGCGGGGAAAGACGTCAGACAGCGCCATCGGGAGACGCACGTTTAAGCCACACCGCAACGTTGTGGGCGGCAGATACCGGAACGTGGTGGGCAGGAATGACACGGGGCAGCCGTGCTGGAAAACGGGTTGGCAGTTCCTTTCCAAACCAAACGTGGATATACTAGACGACCCAGCAATTGAATGCCTGAGCTTTTATGCCAAAGAAATGAAAACTACATGCACGTGGAGACCTGTACACAAATATTCATAGCAGCTTCATAGGTAACAGGCCTAAACTAGAAAAACCGGCACACCCTTCAACTTGGGAATGATGAAACTGAGGTATGTCCCTTAGTGAATCCCGAGGGAATTAGGCTGCCTGATGACAGCCAACCCCGGGGGTCACAGGCCACAGGATTCTCTTTATGTCATCCATGAAATAACGGAATCTTAGAGCTGGGCAACACACCAGGGCAAAGGCAAGACAGGATGCCTCTGTAATTACCTCGACATAAAAGTTTAATTAAGAAAGAAAAACTAATTAAAGGATTGCTTTTCCAGTTCGCTCTAGCACCCCGCAAGGCCTGAGCCATCACAACCGATGGAAGCCAATGCCTGCAGCTGTAGGAAAAGCCTGATCATTTCTTTCTCATCCTGCATAGCTGTTTAGAATCCTCTCTTGTTACGATGCACAGGATAGAAAGCAGGCATTTCCCATGGAGACCAGTACATCAAAAATTCAGTTTTATGTGGACAGACACGCTTTAGGTCTGTTTTTGTTTGTTTGTTTGTTTGTTTTTTGAGACGGAGTTTCACTCGTTACCCAGGCTGGAGTGCAATGGCGCGATCTCGGCTCACCGCAACCTCCACCTCCTGGGTTCAGGCAATTCTCCTGCCTCAGCCTCCTGAGTAGCTGGGATTACAGGCATGCGCCACCATGCCCAGCTAGTTTTTTGTATTTTTAGTAGAGACGGGGTTTCACCACGTTGACCAGGATGGTCTTGATCTCTAGACCTCGTGATCCACCCGCCTCGGCCTCCCAAAGTGCTGGGATTACAGGCTTGAGCCACTGCGCCCGGCCCGGTCTGTTTTTTAAAAAAGATGTTTAGCTACAAGTATGAAAGGCTTCACAAGGGGAATATAATCGTTAAAGGAAATGGCATGGAAAGCCTGAGACCGGACGCCTGCTGACACAGGTGTGAGTTCACGGCTGTTCCCTAGGCCGGGGCCATCTGCTCTCCGAACCCCTGACCACTAGGAAAACATCACCTACCTGAACTCACTGAAGGGAAGCTCTTTCAGGAGCATTTAAACACCTGGATAGCAAATTTATGAGTGAAAATGTTTAAACACTTAGAAGTCATTCGGTGATGTGTGTGATACACAGAACAGTGAGAGCACGGTGAACTGGGGTGGCAGGGGGCCAGTGGTTGATGCCAGCTCCTCTGAAGGACCTCTGAGCGCTTCCTGGGGTCCTGTCGCACTGCACCGGGAGGGACTGCAGCCTGGTCCGGAGAGGCTCACTGCGTCCGGCTGGCTGGGCTGCTCAGAGGCCCTCCCCCTCCGGGCTTCTGGAATGAGCTTGGCTCTCCCTGTGCATGGGACCCACTGGGGAGCTTCCTGTCTTCCTCACCGAACCTCCCACGGCTTGGCTGAGAAAACAGGAGGGTAGGCAGTGGGGCTACAGGAGGGAGGGAGGCATGGGAGTGGGCGAGGGCCGGGCAGCGAGCATGGGCACCAGCAGGGGCAGGAAGGGGCCGGCATGGGCCCGGCGCCGAGCTCCACAGTCACATGGCGGACTGGAACAGGCTGACCGCTGCCTTGACACAAACATGAAAACCATGCTCACGGTTCCACCTAGACAGGTCCTTCCAAACGACTAGTGAAACTCCAAAAATATCTCATTTAAATGATTTAAACACATTTTAAAATATATTGATATATTAGTTACACTAATAATTCATTTGAAACATTTAAAAGGCAGCCTTCAAGAAGAACTGTAATATTCCCAACAGAAAGAAACAATTCACGAGGTGACGGACATCCCAGTTACCCCAACTTCATCTTTACTCACTGGTGTGCAGGCATCAAAGTATCACACAGACCCCCAAATACATACAACTATTATATATCAATAAAAAATAAACTTTTGGCAGGGCGCAGTGGCTCCTGCCTGTAATCCCAGCACTCTGGGAGGCCAAGGTGGGCGGATCACTTAAGGTCAGAAGTTCGAGGCCAGCCTGGCCAACATTTTGGTAAAACCCCATCTCTACTGAAAATGCAAACATTAGCTGGGCATGGTGGCGTGCACCTGTAATCCCAGCTACTCAGGAGGCTGAGACAGGACAATCAGTTGCACCTGGGGATGGAGGTTGCTCTGAGCTGTGATTGTGCCACTGTACTCTGGCCTGGGTGAAAGAGCAAGACGCTGTCTCTAAATAATTCTGTCTGTAAATAAATAAATAAATAAATATTTTAAACAATACAATCTTCAATGAAGTTTCCTGTTCCAATTTTCATCAACTTCCACCTAGAATTTATACTGATATGATTTTATTATACCTGATCCTAAAACAATACATTTCCACCGAGTAGAGTTTATATTAATATGACTTTATTATCTCTTATTCTAAAACCAACTTTAGAAACAGTGTTTCCAGCCTTTCTCTATCTTGATTGGTTCGTATGTCCCCACAATGATTTTAAATTCCACGGATTCTGGTGTGGAATGCTGCCGGGGAGCAGGCTGTGTGTGCGCGTGGGGGCGGTGGGTACCTCCACCCAATTCTGCTGAGAACTCAAAACTGCTTTAAAAAGTAAAGACTATAAAAAAAAAAATTAAAGGTTAAAAAAAAGGTAGTAGGAAGGTAGTAGGGAGCTGGGGCCTACGCTCAATAAAAAACATCTCAGACGGTCTGTTTTGTCAAAGAAAATAACAACTTTTTTTAAAGTTTGTATTTAAAAACCGTTTCAAGAGACAGGGTCTTTCTCTGCTGCCCAGGCTGGAGAGCAGTGGCTGTTCACGGGCACGGTGGAGCCTCCTGAGCGGCCTCCAGGCCCCGGGCTCAGCGATCCTCCCGCCTCGGCCTCCTGAGGCGCCGGGACGGGAGCCGTGAGCCACCGCACCTGGGTCAAGCCTGCGTCTCCCACGGTCACCAGACTAAGCCCCGGGAACCGCGTGGGGCGCACTCACTCGCAGCTTCCGGCTTTGCTTCCGGACGAGCTTGCCGTGCTGGATGAAATGAACGGGACACTGGTTCATGGCGTTGTCCGCTTTATGTCGAAGCCAGTCTTCATAGCCCTAAAGGAAGGAAGGAAAAGAAGGGTGAGAGGGAGCGGGGAGCGAGGGCGCGACGGGGGCGCGACGGGGGCAGGCGGCGGGCTGGAGCTGGGCGCTGCGCGAGCGCGAGCCAGGCCTGCAGACGCGTGCTTTTCCAATCAGGACACAGCACACACACTGCTCTTTGTATCCCTGACAGAGCATCGACATGTTCCCAGGAATCGGGGCTGCTTTGCGTTTGCAGTTGGGTGACCGCAAAGACGTCTGATAAAGATGCTTCTGGAAGTCTGCGTAAGTGCCACGTAACTGCACTTTGGTGCACATCCCTGACATCACCTTAGGATAAAGTCCTAAAAAAGGAACGTCCGAGTGAAAGGAGGGAAGGCTTCTCACAGAAACGCTGTGCAGCCGGCTGCCTGCCACCCGCCGAGCGTCAGCCTTCAGCCTGGAAACGCACACGCTGGCCATACTTCCCTTTCGCTGAACACGGACGTCTGTCGTGAGATCTGGCAGCCCAGACTCTCGGTGAACCCCCAGCTCCCTCTGTGACGCTCGCAGCGGCCTTCGGGTTCTCCGTGCACTTCTGCGTCTGAGTAACCCACGCGGGAGACATCCCACCGGGGCTCCCGTGTGCGCAGGCTTCGCGCTGGAGAAGCGGCCGCAGCTCACCCTGACCCCAGCCTGAGACGGTGCGGACACGAGCGCTCCAAGTCCAGCTCCCGAGGCGCACCCTCTGCTTGGAGAAGCGGGTGGTATCGTGAAAGCAGCGGCAACAGGAGAGGCCGCACGCTGACGCTTCCTGGGATGACGGACGTGCCTCTGTGTCTCGCGTTGCTGGCTGCAGGGGCCTCAGATAAGGGTGGGGAACGGCCGTTCTCAGCAACCATCCCAGCATGAAAGACTGCACACCCGGGCCTACGGGCATCCACTACACCTAACGCGCGTCGGGATTGGGCACGCAGCTGTGCCACACACAGCACAACCACACGGGGTGGCGACGAGAAGCCTGTGCCACGGGCCCGCGGCGCATATGCCGAGACAGCCTGTGGGGCAGGAGGCTCACGGGGCCGCCTGGCTATGGGCCACCCGGCATCAGAGGCCTGCAACTGGCGTCTGTTCTGACGGGAGCATAAACAAGTGACCCAAAACCTCCAGCTTCTGGAGAATTAAGAACCCGGGGTGCATGGATGTCCGAAGGTGTGGCACCTTCTCCAGCTTTGACCATTACAAGGGACGCCGTGGCATCTGATTGCTTTTCAGAGATTCCTCCCAAATGGCTGAAATACCCTCTTTCTGGGGAAACTGAAGAACAGTCTTCTTGGAAGGCGGCAGTGGGTAGATGATTCCTGGGTTCGTTAAACACTCTTATTTAGCACCAACTGCATGCTCAGCAAGTGCCAGGCACCAGGGACCTGTAGATGATGGACCTTGTCCGCAGCACTGCTGCTCTCAGAACTGGTGGGGAAGAAACAGAAGCAACTGCCAGTTCAGCTCGGGTGAGAGACGCCAGTGCCCCCAAGAAGCCCAGTGCCCTGGCTGCGGGATGAAGCCAGAGAGGAGGTGCCCAGGAATGCCCAGTGGTGATGGAGCGGGGATGGCACTGCCCAGTGGCCAGCCTGGCTGGGTCGGGAGAGACACATGGAGGCCCATGCAGGTGGCGGGCTGATGGGAGGGCCCCACACACACCAGGGAAGGCCGGGCACCGCAGGGAGAGGCCGCTCAGGCAGGGCCTGGGCAGCAGCAGGCCAGGTACAGTGAGATGCCCATCAGTGTCCAAGCGATACACTGGGGAGACAGCATGAAAAGAGAGGCGGGAAGCTAAGAGAAATCAGGGAGGGCTCTGTGAGTGCAGGGGGCCTTCCAAGGCAAGCGCGGAGGGGCTGGGAGGGAGCATGGGGACCCCAGCATGAACATCCGGCTGGAGCCAGAGTGTGGGGGGACCACCACAGAGGGAGGCGCCGTTCCTGAGGAAGAGGGACAAGGAGGTCAGTGGTGGGGAGGCCGGGATGGTGCTCGGGCACACACAGGTCCAGGCCAGCAGCGGGAGAAGCAACACCTCCCCCAGAGTGAGGGCTGGGTAGCAAGACGCACGGGAGAAGAAGAAACCCCTCTAGGCAGGGACGTTGGAGATGAGGCCCAGACCTGCGGTTCTGTTCATCTGACCCCTCTTAACCCCACCCCCCAACGCCCACCCCTGGGTACTGCCCCATGGCCAGGCCGAGGACACCTCATGTTCTTGTCTGGGCCGTGGTCTGCACGGTGTTGAGAAGTGGCCTCCGCATTGATGGGGCCGTGGGCTCCCGGGCCACTGCCTCTCTGGCCCAGATGCGTCTTCACAGCCACCCTCCCCACTCCATGCAATCCTCTCCTCACCTCCAGGATGCTCCTGGAGCCCGCAGGAGTTTCCTCCTCAGTGGGGTCCAGGGAGGGATGCAATCCTTACAAAGGTCAGAGCAGAGGGCACCGAATAACAAACTCTCTGCACCCGCCTCCCAGGGCAGGGCAGGACGCCGCCGCAGAGCCTCAGCCCCTTGTTCCGCACCCCGCACCCTGCTCTCGGCGCCCGAGTCTCAGGGGTCTCCTTCCTGTCTGCAGCCTCTGCTCCTGCCACACGGACGTGCCCAGCACAGGACGCCCTCTGCTCATCTCCTCGAGGGGTTCCTGGAAACACAGCAGGTCCCCGAATAACATCATTTCCTTCAGCACCATTTCCTTTTGAAGTTGAGAAAACCCATCGTTTTGCTTAAAGCTGAAGTCTGCAAGAGCCCACCAGCACCATGCAGTGAGGCCTTATCCCGTGTGAGCGCTGAACTGCCCGGGTCACGGGCAGCGCGGCCCCCAGCAGCCTGAGTTTCCCCACGCTCTGTTTTCAGGCAGAGGACTTCCTCTCGGTCGCTGTGCCGTGTTCTGCCACGCACCACGTGGAGCTATCCACCTCCTTGCTGAGGGACGCGGGGCGGCCCGAGTCCTTTACTAACCAGTGATGGTCACCACGAACACCCTGGTTCACACATCCCGGCAGGCCCGGCCGGCTCCGGCCTAGCGAAGACGCGCCCCATGTGCTGACTACACAGCTGCATGTTTATCATCCACTCGGCCCCTGTGTGTCCAGATGTTGGTCGGGACACGGTCTCTGCCCTGGGACTGGTCCCCGTACCAGATGATGCCAACTACTGTGCTCGGCGGCTCTGCCACACTCCTGCCAGGGGCCCGTGGTGCCTGCTTCACCACGTCATCTCGACTTTCCCATCTGAAAGCCAATCTGGTGGGTGTGAAACACAGTTCAGGCTGTTGTCCAAATCTGTATTTCCAGATTACTAGTGAGTGAGAAAGAAAAGTCAAACCAACGTTAACATTCTGTAACTCTCACCCACTCCTCACAGGTGCATCTGAAAAATAATACAGACATCCATCCTCGTGCCGAAAATCAATTAACCGCCAGAGGGAGAACGGCACTCTGAAACCCACGCACAGACACGCGGCAGTGACGCCAGCCCTCCACGTGGCACCCTGTAGATCCTGGAGTCATCACTGGAGTCATCACTCTGCAACACGCCACCTTCAGCACCTGTGCCCGCTCAGGGCTGCGTGCGTACCACGTCGCGTGTAAAGTATGCTTCAGGTGTTTATTGATTTAAAGACTAACACTGGCCAGGCGCAGTGGCTTATGCCTGTAATCCCAGCACTTTGGGAGGCCGAGGCAGGTGAATCACCTGGGTTTAGGAATTTGAGACCAGCGTGGCCAACATGGCAAAACCCTATCTCTACTAAAAACAAAAAAATGAGCCAGGCATGGTGGCACATGCCTGTAATCCCAGCTACTCGGGAGGCTGAGGCAGGAGAATTGCTTGAACCCAGGAGGTGGAGGTTCCAATGAGCCGAGGCTGTGCCACCACACTCCAGCCTGGGCGACACAGCGAGACTCCATTTCAAAAAAAAAAAAAGACACCACCAAAGCATAGCTTTTCCAGCAAGAATGTGATCATCAAGAATTTAACTAGAGGCTGTCATTTTGCAAATTATCCAGATGTCTCAAATGATAGCCAGCCAACAAATGTCAAAATAGCATTGGGTTCAGAAGTCTGCAGCAGATAAATGAACTGTGTATAGGACACAGAAAGAATTCTTACAAGTTTTCTAGCAGAAGACAAATAACCCAGTTTAAAAATGGGCAAAGGATCTGAAGACTTTCCTTGAAAGATTCACAAATGCCCAGTAAGCACGTGAAAAGCTGCTCAACACTTTTCGTCACTAGAGGAGCCAGCTCAAGGCAGCTCTCTGCACGCAGGGTGGCTGTGATAGAAAGGGCGGACATCAGCAAGGGTCAGTGAGAACGTGGAGAAGAGAGCCCCGGAACGGCCTGTGGGGACGCAAAATGGTGTGGCTGTTCGGGAAAACACGTTGCCAGCTCCTCAAAACATCAGAGCAGTTCACTCCTAGGGACATACCCCCAAAATTAAAAACGGATCTTTACCCCTAAATACAGAATGTATATGATTATTATATGTCAATTAAAATAAACAGAGAAAAAAGGAAGCCTATATCCACGTAAAACCTGTACACGGCAGCATTATTCACAACAGCGAAAAGGTGGAAACGGCCCAAATGTCCATCCACAGAGGAGGAAAAAGCTAAATGGCGTGTTATCGGATACACAGCAGACTGTTACTCATTCCTAACAGGGAACGGAGAGCTGATGTTAAACACAGAGAAACTTTACAAACATTATGTCGAGTGAGGAAGACAGTCACAAAGCGCCGAAGATGAACCCGGACTATGCAGTGTCGACGACAGGCAACTCTACGGTGACAAGAGATGCGCCTTTGCCAGGGACAGGGGGAGAAAAGGGGAGTGACTCAAGTGAGAAAATGGATACACGGCGAGTGAGTCTGAAACGTCTTCTTCTCCGCGTCAGTCACTGGCTTTACTTACCAGGGCTACGAAAAACAAAAAGCAAGACCACAAAAACAAAACCATCCCATCTGCCAGAGTCCGTAAGCAACAGGTTCTGCCGTGGTCAAGACGGGCCAGGAGGCAGAAAGGTTAAGGGACTCCCTGGAATCAGAGCTTATCCCCGGGGGACTCGGGATGCAAAAGCAGAGATTTCTTCTCCAACTCAGATGGCGCCAAACTGAATTACATCACATCTCTTATTCTGCTTCAAGTATCAACCTAACACAGTTGTAAAAATGCACTTCCAGAACTTGGTTGAATTTTCTGTGAACTAGCTGAAACAAACCAATTACCTCGCTCTCAATGAAAGGCAATTCGCCCGGCAAAGATGACGACTTTCTTCTTTCTCCTCTGTAAAATGCTTACCTGTTTGATAGCCGTGACAGTAATGACAAAGAAGAGTGGGAGTCCACTTGTGACTGGACTTGTGGGCGTGTCAATGATCAACTGTGGAAACAGAGAATCGCAGAATCATCTTCAAAAACGCAAACCAGTGACTTGAGGCGGGCGAGTTTGCCCCGAGCGGGCACCTGGCATTCACTTTGACTCACTTAAAACCCTTTGCTGGCGCCCGACTCCGCCCACCACCGAGGACAGGGACTAAATCATCCTGTTTCACTAGCTGCTAAAATGAGGGCAACTTTTTAAAATTAAGGAACATGCTTAAGGAAACCACTGATCATCAGCAGCAGACAGCCTGAAGTTGGGCACACTGTGTGAATGCACCCCGTGCCCCAGGGTCACACTTCGATTACACAATTTGGATAATTTCATGCTGGAAGAATCAGAGCGCTGTTGTTAAAGCGCATCTGGACTCCTGTTCCTTAACTCATACCCCTGAGATATTTTTTTTCACTCTTTTGGTTTTTAAAACTCTCTTTTAACACGTGCCGTCTTTGGATTTTGGTTTTCTATAGAGCATCCACACACATTTAGGAAGAGTGAAGTCAGGCTAACAATGCACAGCTTGGCTGTGAGCTTGTCCGAAAGATGGCAAGGCTCTGATTTCCCCTCAGGTACTAGAAGGAAAGGGGCAGGAAGGGCTGTCACCAACTTAAACCCCAAGTGACGTTGTGTGTGCTTTATCCTGTGTGGGTCTCAGAACCAACATGTTTTGTCCTTAAGAAATAAACGCATGATCGTGGGTGAGGGCACCACATCCTGGCTCCTTCATTACCCGCACGGCAGTTACCCGAGAACAAAACTTCACTTATTTAGATTTATAGTTGATGGAAAACAGTGACCGGCCTTACCTGCACCAGAAATATGATAAGGAAATAAAAGTTGGCTATTCTTCTGAATTGTTCAAATAAATTCTTGGGTATAAAGTTCCAAAATGTGTACTGCATAAAAGAAAAACAAACATCGGTCATTTAGATCAGATTTTGCTTCTCACAGCGTTACTTCACGGCACAGTAAGCAGCACTGGGTTTTATAAAAAGCACCATGTTTAGCTTTAGACAGAAAACTCATCCTTCCCACTCTGGAGCAGCTGCTGACAGCTACGACGGCTGAAACAAAGTGTGCTCTGAAACACATCCGTCAATCACCTGACGAGAGGATTCAAGGTAAAACACAAGGTAGCTCAACAGTCGTTCGAGTATGGAGACACCTTTTAGAAAACGTGAACCTGTGATCGGTAACTGGACGCATCTGCATTTTACGTCAGCAACTTCTGCACCATCTCTCTTTTGAGTGACAGCCTGGCGAGGGGACGGCAGAAAGCTGAGTGCAGTGTCCACCCAGTCCCAAGCAGCTTCCGAGGAAGAGGGGCTTTGGGTCCACAGCCCAGGCACAAGGGCTTGGAGGACTCGGGGAAGGAGAGGAAAAGAGAGGGAGGGGGGAAAGGGAGGGAAGGAAGGAAGGGGGGAAGGAGGAAAAGGGGGGGAAGGGGGGAAAAGGAGGAGGAAAAGGAAGGGAAGGGGAGAAAGGAGGGGGAGGGGAGGAAGGGGGAGGGGAGGAAAGGAGGGGGAGGGGAGGAAAGGGGGAGGGGAGGAAAGGAGGGGGAGGGGAGGAAAGGGGGAGGGGAGGAAAGGAGGGGGAGGGGGGAAAGGGGGAGGGGAGGAAAGGGGGAGGGGAGGAAAGGGGGGAGGGGAGGAAAGGAGGGGGAGGGGAGGAAAGGGGAAGGGAGGGGATGAAAGGAGGGGGAGGGGAGGAAAGGGGGGAAGGGCGGGAGGGGAGGAAAGGGGGGAAAGGAGGGGGAGAGGAGGAAAGGGGGAGGGGAGGAAGCCGGGGGAGGGGAGGAAGCCGGGGGAGGGGAGGAAGCCGGGGGAGGGGAGGAAGCCGGGGGAGGGCCCAGCCACCACAGCCTCTTCCCTCCACACTTATTTTCCTTCTCTAGCAGTTTCACTCAACTTCTGTGTTGAAAACAACAACATCCCAGATGTCATGACCTTCGCTGAGTCTGGAAATCGTTTCTAACATCTCATCTGACGTGTCTTAGGCCGTAACGAAGACCCTCTATGGAAACCCGCATCAGCTCTCACAGCCGGCGCGGCGGCCTCGGCCACCTGTGTGTGTCCTCAACGGTGCGCACTTCCAGATCCCATGTCCAGGTGGCTTCTGGCTCTGGGAAGCCAGAAGCAGTTGCTGAATTCTTTAATTCCAGGCTCATGAACATAAGTGATTCACAGTTCAACATAACAGCTAGAGCCTGGTACGGGCCTAAACCATCCAACATATTCTGAATTTGGTGTTTACAAATATTTCAGAGGAAATCCATGTGTGTCTTTTGTTTGAAAACTTCTTTGCCTCAAGTTTCCAATGGCTTAGCCTTAGAGATTATATAAGGAATTTCCAGTTTCTATTCTAATTCACATTTACAAAGTGATTTCACCTTTCATCATAAAGTTCCTTAGTGAGGATAAAAAGTGGCTCCCCTCGTTGATGACAACTATGGCCATATTTTCAGTTCCCTTCTCAGGCTGACTGTGATAAAGGGGCCAGGGGTGCTCCAGGAGAGTCTCTGGAGTTTTAGAAAAGAAACAAACTTTCCAGGTCCTCCGTGACTCAGCCCGCCCTACCCATCCAAACACCATTATTTTCTGTGTGTTGTTTGATACTAGGTTTTGTTTTGTTTTTTTTAATCAGAGACGTGTTCTGCAAATCTCTTCTCCCAGGCAGTGGCTCGTGCTGTCATTCTCTTAACTGTGGTTTGTAAAGCCTAAGTTTTTAATCTTCATGGAGTCCAACTTACCAATTTCTCTTTCATGAACAGTGTTTTTGGTGTTATATCCAAAAACCTGCTGCCAAACCCAAGCTCGCCTAGACGTTCTCCGACATTTCTATGAGTCTCATCATTGTGCGTTTTACATTTAGGTCTATGACTCATTGTGAGTTAATTTTCTTCTTTTTCTTTTTTTCCTCTCCCAAGAGACAAAACTGTCAGGGTTAATTCTCTTGAACGGTGTATGCTCACTGTGTGGGGTCACTGTTGCTGGGGATTTCTGCATGTCCAGTTTTTCTAGCCGTCTTTGTTGAAAAGAAACCGTGCTCTTCTGTCCGCCCTGAATCGCCTTTGCTCCCCTCTCAAAGACGGGTTGACTATCCGGGTGAATTTACTGGGTGGGTACTCCCAGGCACCCCACGATCCTTCATCGATCCATCGATCTATTTGTCAATTCTTCCAGCAATGCCGCACTCCCTTGACTACTGCAGTTTTACAGTGAGTCTTAAAGTATCAGTTCTCCAACTTGGTTCTTCAATATTGTGAGGCTAGTTTGGGTCTTTGGCCTTTTCCATTTAAATGTAGAATCAGTTTGTTGTTATCTACAAAGTAACTTGCTGGGAATTTGATTAGGATTGTATTGAATCCATAGATCAAGTTAGGAAGACTTGACATGTTAAAAACATGGAGTTTTCCCATCCATGAACATGGAACATCTCTCCATTGACTCAAATCCTCTTTGATTTCTTCCACTACAGCTTTATAGTGTTCCTCATCTAGACCTTGTACGTATCTTGTTAGATTTATACCTATGTAATTTGGTGGGTGGGGGAATAAATGTAAATAGTGCTGAGTTTTAAAATTCAAACTCCAATTGTTCCTTGCTGGCATACAGGGAGGTGATTAATTTTTGAATCCTGCAACCATGCTATCATCGCCTCTAACATCCAGTTTTTTTGTTACTGTTGGTTCTTTGGGATTTTCTACATAGGCAATCATATCACTCGTGAACAAAGTCTTATTTCTTCCTTCCCAATTTGTATACCTTTTATTCCCATTTCTACTCTTACTGTATTAGCCAGGATTTCCAGTACAATGTTGAAAAGGAACAGTGATGAAGGATTCCTTGCCTTTCTTCCAGTCTTAGGGTGAAATCATCTACTTTTTCACCATTAAGTGTGACGTCAGCTATAGGGCTTTTTGTAAATGTTCTTTATGAAGCTGAGGAGATTCCCCTCTATTCTTAGTTTGCTGCAATACATGAGTGGGTACTAAATTTTGTCAAATGCTTTTTCTGCACCTATTGATAATAATGTGAATTTTCTTCTTTAGCCTGCAAATACTATGTGTTATATTAGTTGATTTTGAAACATTGGATCAGCCTTGCATACCTAGGATAAATCCCACTTGGTCGTGGTGTATAATTCTTTTTTTTTTTTTTTTTTTTTTTTTTGAGACGGAGTTTCGCTCTTGTTACCCAGGCTGGAGTGCAATGGCGCGATCTCGGCTCACCGCAACCTCCGCCTCCTGGGTTCAAGCAATTCTCCTGCCTCAGTCTCCTGAGTAGCTGGGATTACAGGCATGGGCCACCATGCCCAGCTAATTTTTTTTTTTGTATCTTTAGTAGAGACAGGGTTTCACCATGTTGACCAGGATGGTCTCGATCTCTTGACCTCGTGATCCACCCGCCTCAGCCTCCCAAAGTGCTGGGATTACAGGCTTGAGCCACCGCGCCCGGCTGTATAATTCTTTTTATACATTGAATTCGATTTGCTAATACTTCATTGAAAATTGTTGCTTCTATGTTCATGAGAAATACTGGTCTGTGATACTGCCTTTCTGGTAATATCTTTTTCTGGTTTTGGTTTTAGTGTAACGCTGGCCTCATAGAATGAATTAGAAAGTGTTCCTTCTGCTTCCATTATCTGGAAGAGATTGTAGGGAATTGAATTTTTTTTTTTTTTTCTAAAATGTTTGGTAGAATTCATCAGTGAAAACATTTGGGACTTGTGCTCTCTGTTTTGGAAGATTATTAATTATTGATTCAATTTGTTTAATTGATGTAGACTCACCCAAATTACCTTGCTCCTTGTTTGAGTTTTGGTAGATAGTGCTTTTCAAAAAACTGGTCAATCTTATCTAAGTTATCAAGTTTATGGGCGTAGGGCTGTTCATAATATTCCTTTTAATCTTTTTATTAGTGATGCTGCCAGTCGTAATGCCCCTCTTCCATTTTTGATGTTTGGAATTTGTGTCTCTTTTCTTCTTTCCTTGTTTAGCCTGACAAGAGCTTCATTGATTTTACTGATTTTTTTTCAAAGAACCAGCTGATGATTTTTAAAATTTTCTGATTTCCTGTTTTCAATTTCATTAATTTCTGCTCTAATGTTTATTCATTCTTTTTTTTTTTTTTTTTTTAAAGTTTCCTAAAGTTGAAGTTTGTTGATTTTGTTGATTTTGGATCTTTCTTCTTTTGTAATCTCTATAGTCAACACGATAAATTTCCCTCTAAGTACTGCTTTTCCTGCATCCCACAAGATTTGATGTTATATTTTAATTTTTGTTTAGCTTAAAATATTTTTATATATCTTGAGACTTCTTTGATTCATGTGTTACTTAGTTGTGTTTTGTTCACTCTCCAAGTATTTTGGGATTCTCCAGTTAATTTTATTTATTTTTTTCTAGTTTAATTCTACTGTTGTCTGAAAGAATACTTGGTATGACTTCTATTATTTGAGAATGTGCTAAGGTGTATTTTATGGCCCAGAATGTGATCTGTCATGGCAAATGTTCCATGTGAAGTTGAGAAGAATGTGGGGTCTGCTATTGTTGAATGCAGTACTTTTACAAATGTCCGTTAGGTCCAAGGGATTGATGGTGCTGTTGTGTTTAACGGTGGCCTTACTGATTTTCTGCCTGTAAAGAGAGGTGATGAAGGCTCCAACTATAACAGTGGATTTTCTTTCTCTTTCCATTTCTATCCATTTCTGCCTCACATATTTTAATCTGCTGTTGTTACAGAGACATTAAGAATTGTTTTGCTGTCTTGGAGAACTGACCTTTGTTGTGATGCAATGTCCCCTTTATCCCTGGTAATTTCTCTTGTTCTGAAGTCTGCTTTGTCTGAAGTTAATAGACCTAACCCTGTGTCCTGTTGAGTAACAACAGCATGGTAGC